CCAAGATTTTTAAAGGGGGAGGGGCTTTATTTTTTTTTAATGTTTTGTTGCTATTAAGTAATTTTTCAAAATTGTATTTTTCGCTTATTTAAAATAGCTTTTAACGTCATTTTTAGTTATTTTTCAATTATATATATATAATATTAAAATTTTAAAACTTTAAATTCTAAAATAATTCCTTGTAGAATGCCTTTTGAGACTTCATTCAAACGATCCAATTTGATCACCTGGCAAAAATGTATGATATATTGTTTCACATCTTGAATTTTTAAATTAGAAGGCAAATCATAGCTGTTTAGCTTAAAATCGTTTTAAGCGTTCAATTGGAAACATTATACGAAAATTAAATTACTGTAATCAGCATTCCCATATGAGAGTGTTTTTTTATGATTTTTATTTAAAAAATATTTTGTTAGCATTTGAAGCTTTAATGGTAAATTTTTCGAGGTGTCAGATTGTTAGCTGATATTTTCAGATTACGATTTAATTTTCTTCATCTTAGGCATTTTCTGTAGGTGTGATAGAAAACATTTTTCTTAAGCGCTGAAATAAGTATCATTTTCAGCTCAAAAGGCGTTATTCGGTTTTGCATCTATTCATTATGAAGGCGTATCACTTTTCAAATTGTTGCCACCAAATAGGATTGTCCTGTATTATTTTTAAAGAAATTAAATAATGAAGAATCTCCATGAATGCATATATGTTTCTCGCATTATGCAAAACAATTATTTTTAAAGAAATTAAATAATGAAGAATCTCCATGAATGCATATATGTTTCTCGCATTATGCAAAACAATGGAACCTAGAACCAGTAAATTTTGAATAACGTAGTCCTCCAACAGAATATGGACACCTGGAAGCTCGAATTTGGAATTTCAAAATTTTTTTATTGTGTATTTCATATTTTGTAAAACTTAAAAGAATTTGTGATTATTAAACTCGATGATTTCAAAGCGAGCAATGGCAATATTGTACGGGAGGGGAAAAAAAAAAAAAAAAAAAAAAAAACCTAGCGCGGGAGACTATCTATCGGAAATTATAAAGATATGCTGTTTTTGAATATTTTCTGAGTGTGCTGTTGAATTGAATTTTATGGGGTGTAAGTGCGAAGAATATGTTATTTAATAAATGAAGTTAACACAGCTGATTGACAAATCAACGATCTGAAAGCGAGCAGCGGCAAAACTCTTCGAAATAAACCATTTTTATTTCCAGCGGGCGAGATTATTGCCATTCCGAGAAATGTAATGTAAGATTTATCCTTCAGTTTTAATTAACAAACTCGGCTGTATGAGAACAATGCGTTGAAGCGGCCGGAAATAACAGCACTTTTTTCTTCCACGCACCAGCGCGTTGGCATTCACTGAGATACTTTCAAATTTTATTTGGAATGTAACTGAGTAATAAACTAAGCGATTAAAAAGCAATAAACGCATATCTTAAGAATAGTTTTTCTACTTTTAAATGTGATTCATTTAAATAAACATGTATTAAAATCATGAGACGTCTAATTAGAAATGCTCTGTATTTTTATGAAATTTCCCTAGCTGGACTAATTAAAATCATTACATACTTTTTCTTTTTTTGATAACTATTTTAGGCGGCTGGCCGCGCAAGCAGCTGATTTTAAAGAAATAACGTAGCGAATATAAAAATATGTATGGCAACTTCTAACACTTCAACGGGAACTCTAAAGATACGTTGTTTTTGAACATTTTGTTATTTTGCTGTTGAATTAAATTTCATGTGGCGTAAGTGCGAGGAGCGTGATATTTAATAAATAAGGTTAACCCATAAGAAGTAGTGGGTGAAAACATCTTGAAATTTTTGAATGACACATTCTACAGTATTTCTCTCTTCATCGCTTAATTGTGCATTCTGCAATAACTCCTATGTTAGGGTCTCCGAAATCACAAGTTCTGGAGGATTACTTCTTCGTTTAACACAGGTCACTGGAATACATGCTGCAACCACGTAACCTTTCCTAATAACTTTCACCTTCTCAGTTACATTGGCAACTCTCACCCGGGTAACGGTTCTCGATAGCTCGACGAGTGCCGAGACTACTAATACTCGCAGGGTATTACTCTTCTTGGTATATTTCATTATACCGTACCGAAAAACTTTGTTTTCCGCTAATGTTCCATGAAGTAAAAATTCTGTTCTTGCTGGTACTGTGATATGGTTTTGAGCTATGATTTGGTGGACATATTTAACTCCTTCAACATTAATTCCAAATATGGTTATGTCCTCAGAGGCAGAATGCAGTTCATTATTTTTAAAGAAAGACCATCGACCATTTTAGAACCGACCATTTTAGACCATTTTAGAAACCATCGACTCCGAGTATACAAGGGTTTTAATATTTGCTACATATGCCTTGTGATGGTAGGCGGTATTTCCAAATGCGATATTTACTATTAATTTTCCATAGATGTCGATTTTATCTCCATACAAATTCTGGAGGGTAACTCAGGGCGGAGTCCAGGTGAATTTACCTTCCATTGTTGATCCAGATCTTTTCGGGTGATGATAACATTGGCTCCTGTACTGATGTTCATATTGAAAGGAACTCCTTTGATATGCCTCATGATGAAGAGTCAATGACTGCAGCCACTCATTGCAGAAATCGGAAGCGTTTTAAAATAGGATTTCTCATTATGTGGTAACCTCCGCCCCACGAAATGGCCACTAATTAGTTTACCTCGTTCTTGCTGAGAGCAGTCTTAACTTGCACTCCCTGCCTTTCGTACGTGTTCTGTAGTTTTTTCGCACCAGAGTTCCAGCGCTTTAGGGTTAGTTTTTTGTCGCCCCTATTTCGTATCAAGGCATTGACTTTTCTGGTTAAATCGTCTTGACGAGCGGTCACTTGATCCACTGGTTCTTGGACTTAAGCAGCTCTGATTGGGTGGCGATCTCTTCGAGTTGCTTGCTGTGCTGCCTCGAATATCATGGTGAACACTAAAGCGCCTTTTAAGCCTTTGGCATCTGCCATTCGCAGGACATTCTGTATCTCAAGATCCCGGATGCCATCGATGAAGTATTGCAGGGACAAGTTTTCTGCTGTTTCTGATAGGCAGCCCGAAAAGGCGTCACTTCCGACATCTGTGGCGAACTCGTTTAATGGGCTTATATTGACGAGATTTTAACTAAAGCTTGCTAAGTCTTTTAAACGCTTCTTGCCAAAGCGCAGCTCAGACACGCCGGATAGAGCTTCGAAATCTAGCCTCTGGTTTTCGGGCGCAGTTTGAAGAATATCTGCTGCGTCTACTCTCAGTGGAGCGGGGAGATAGCAATCCTTAGCCTTAGATTCCCATCCATTCGCGCCCGCTACTATAGAAAATTATGTCTTACCATCATATGTGAGTAAGCTGTAGAGAGGACCGAGAAGGCATGGGTGAAAACTTGAAACGATCAGAATTGCTTCCGGCTGTCGCTATGAGTTTCTTTAAGGTATCAACTTCTTTGGCGAACGCAGAAACCCTGCTATCATTTTGTTGTTCGATTTTTTGTTGTTAGACGGCAGAAACACTTTCTTTGATTTGTTATTCCATAGCAGAAACTCTTTCTTGAATTTCTCCAACTTTGTCTTCAACCATATCCATTCTGCCTTTCATAGCCTCGAATTTGTTTTCTATTATGCAGGTAATTTTTCTTTTCATTTCCTCTTGATCTGTTTCATTCCATTTCTTGAAGAGCTTACATTAACGGGTTCTTGACCAGTTTCTCCATCTTTTCTTGAATAGGTTTCATCTCCTCATTAACAGAATCTTCGCCAGCTTTCATCTCATCTTGGCCCGTTTTCATCTCTACTTTGAATGCAGCAAAGGATGCCATTAGCTTTCTTAATTGCTCATCAGTCGCTCCTGTCATTGGCATTCAATCCCACTTCTGAGACCAAAAATTGTTGCTTACACACTGGTTCGTAATAGATTGAATGCATAGAGGTCCGATGATAGGTTGGTAAAATTTATTTTATTAAAAGGAACACTTCAGAGTTCTGGAACTTTCCACAGGCATACTCATACACGTTTTCGCAGCATCACAGAGTACAATCAGTAGTTACACTTCAAACTACTAAGAAAAGAACGTTAAACACAGCGCAATGGAAAGCGCATTTAAAGATGAAGCTAACCCGGAGATAACTCAGTTCTCCGAACTCCACACTGAACTAACAACTCACAAAACAACTGAGGGCAGGTACTCTTTCCAGCCTTATATAGTTTTCACCCGCCCTCCGAGATATTTCTAGTACTTTCTGCTTCTGGAAATTATTGGAAGGCATAATGAGGGCCGAATTACGGTTACAGTTAATACAGTGACCTGTTACATTTATTCAGTTAAATACCTATTGCGGTGATTCAAGGACGGGACCAAAATGTCACCAAATGGTCTATCTCCAGATCTGGCGAGAAAAATTGGCTCCAAAACCTTTGTCAGCTTGGCGATATCTCGCCAATTTAGCGAGACAGCCATTTACTCAATGTTAATTAGACTTGCCCGTGTATTCTTATTTTTCCGGCACCGCATCCTCTCTTTAGATTTTCAAGTTGCATTATACAGAAAAATACAACAATTTGACATATAGTTTCACTAAAATTGTCCGCATGTGTACCAAATTCGTAACAATATGTATGGCAACCTCTAACACTCTATCGGGAATTCTAAAGATATTCTGTTTTAGAACATTTTGTGATTTTGCTGTTGAATTGAATTTTGTGTGGCGTAAGTGCAAAGAGAGTAATATTTAATAAGTAAGGTTAACACATAAAAAGTTAATAATAAAAAGACAAAAACATTTTTGTCAGCCCGTATACTAAGACTACTAAGGACACTAAAGCCAAATAAATTTTCTTTTTAAAGAAATTATGCGTCGAACTTTTTTTTACTGAAATTAACGGTAGTATAAGGTTGGATTTTGCAGGTTATGAAATTAATAATTGTTATTTGGAAATTAAAATTCCATTTCATTTACAGCAGTTACTAATTTATCTTATAGGTACTGGTGGTGCATTGCCATCAAATAAACCTCATCCCTTATCTTTGGATGCCGCCTGTGCAGATGGAACGCCGCCACCCCCCTTACAGCTTGGGGACCGGGTTGTCTGGATCAGTGACTCTGGTCCTGAATACGGTGAGGTGAAGTGGCTTGGCAAACTTCTGGATGTAGGCACAGACTGGATGGTTGGAGTAGAATTCGTAAGAATCTCAAACTTTTTGTATCACATTTCTGACTACTGCGTACTTAGGTGTATAATTTATGTATCTTTTGCTTATAATGCTATATTATGCCTAGTTTTATTTATAATTATTATCATAAAAGTAAAAATCAAATTATATATAAAGCATTTTTGTAATTTGTATTATTCAAATTTCTTTTTATATGTTTCATTTCGGAAGTATTATTTTTATTCAGTGCAGTTGATACATAAATTTAAAAAATGATTTTGTTACTATATACTTTAAGTGATATAATGTGCAGAAAGAGTATATCTTCTTAAGTCCCCCTTTTTTTCCCTTTTTCAGAATCTTCTTTATGTATCATAAGATAAATGCACAGTTATTTAAAGTAAATGAATATGAGAAATATTTCTAAAGCTGTAATTTTAATAGTTATAAAAATTAATCTGAAATTAATTTTCTGTTATTTATAATTAGAAATTAACTTTAAAATGTTGTGCTGTAATTTTGAGTTGGAAGAGAGTATTAAAAAAAAAAAAAAAAAAACCTATAAAGACAATAAATATTTATATCTTCTCTGAAATTGTTAGCAGTTTCTCCCTCTCTACGAGGTCTAATTTAATATATATTTATATTTTGTTTTATAATTTATACTGTATAAATATTGTAATTAAAATTTATTTTAAGTAAAAGGTGTCGCATGATAAAAAATGAATAAAGACTACCTTGTTACATTAATTTGTAAAACTGGAGCTATAAGCCTATAAGGTATTTCTCCCACTTTCCTAGCTTGCCTTCGTGGTGTAACGGTAGCACGCTGGGCTGCTATTCCAGAGGTCCGTGATTCGATTCTCGGCGAAGGTGGTTGCTCATTTTTCAACATGCCTGCTTCCAAAAATATGCCTAATGACTCTACAAGTGGCGCCCGAACTAAAAGGGTTGTGGATGATGATTCTCCACACCCAGGATTTGGCAACTAGGTCCCCTAAAACCCTAGTCGCCCTTTAAAAAGGGGAGTATATAAGGTATTTCTCCCACTTCCCTAGCGTGCCTTCGTGGTGTAACGGTAGCACACTGGGCCGGTGTTCCAGAGGTCCGTGGTTCGATTCCCGGCGAAGGCGGTTGCTCATTTTTCAACATGCCTGCTTCCAAAAATATGCCTAATGACTCTACATGCCTACTACCATTTGGAAACAGCTGTGAAAATAAGTTTTTTCTTTGAATATTCTTTCAACTTCCCATACATGTAAATGCAAAGCTTGGTGGTTTTTATATTTATTCAAGAATATTAACTTCCCATTATTAAAAAATGTTAATTACATGTCTTTTACAACGTTTTTTTCTCAATTAAAAATTAAGAAATATTTCTCTTTTGAGAAAGTAAAATATAATCTTCGATCCAAAGTTATTTATGTGCATCGTTTTTAAAGCAGACCGATATGTAACTACATCAGATGATTTTACGATTCAAAATGGTAAATTAATGCCAAATGATGTTTTTAGAACGTTTTGGATTGTTCAAAAATATGTAAATGGCCTTTGTGTTACTATATCATGGGAGTTGATGTGAAAGCGATAAGCATATCCAAAAGCACAGAAAAATAGCCTAAATTTTAATCACAGCGGCGAGAACAATTTTGATCACAAAATAACCGCCAAAAAATAACTGTAATGCGTTATAAGGGCACAGGATTCAGTTATGCATTCTGAAAGGAAACATATTCCCAATATAGCAATTATTATGCATCGCTTTAAGGATGTCAATTTATGTGGCTTTTATTATTTAACGGTTAGAGACATAGCATTAAGTTATATCTGTATTAAGTCTTGGCGCATTAGGCAATTAAATATTTATTAAAATATCATTTTATTTAACACCTTAAAATTAGTCTATTTTGTTACTGGTTTCAGTATTTCTCAGAGATTAAGGCGAGACATAGTATTTGCAAAAGGTAATATACACAAAAGCATTAGAAATTATTTTCCGGCAATAACTGTTATGAGATATATTAATACTTAAGTATAGAGACTTAATTAATTAGTTATCTAAAATTTTATTTTGAAGTAGGTGAGGCGTTTGAAAATTCTGTTATATATATCTCTTTTTTAGGACAACCCCGTAGGAACTGGTACAGGAAAATATAATGATCATCAGCTATTTGAAGCAAAATTAAACCATGCGTCCCTTGTCCCTATAATTGGCTTAATGAAAGCTGATGATTTCCTAGGTGATAAATCCTTTGGTGAGAAAATTATTCGTATTTATAAAAATAGTTTAAGTGTAATATACTTTTCTTCAGTATATAATATAGTCTCAAATGTAAGATAACTTAGTATTTTCAAATTGGTATTTCAACTGCATCTGTGAATACTTTATAAATTTAACAAATGTCTTTCTTACTATAAAAAATGGTTTTTATGAGAACCAAAATTCATAAAACAAAAGGTAAAAGATTTTTATAAACTTTATTTCCTTATAAAAAAATCATTATTTTCAAATTTATAAAAGCTTTTATATTTTTGCATATATTTGTAAATCATTTAATAACTTTTTTCATGTTTCAGGTTTTAATTTTTGAAGCAAAATGTTATAAAGAAATTTAATCAATTGAATTATGTATTTTTGAAAATGCCCTCTGTATTCTTAAAAACTAAACACCCCCCCTTTTTTTTTCTTTTTTGTAACTATACTGCTAGCTTTTGCTTTATAAGAGCAAATTATATCGTATATAGAACAATCAACCCTCGATATATGGAAGTTGAAAAGGAATTAAAATTTGTTTCTTTTAACCGAAATTGGCTAAAATGAATAAAACAGTTGTAGGTAAATTTTTATGAATACTTTTTGGTGGTAAAAGGGCCATTATTAATAGTGTCAATGAGTTTAACTGATTTTTTTTGACGGTTTTATACTTTTTCATGTTATATGTACATTCATATTTCGAATGGGAAATAAATTCAAGAGTGAAAGAAACTTGAATCAACATTGGTTATTCGACCACCGATTAAATCTTTACTTGCTTTTCGCTTTCTACAGTACTTTAGGAAATGATCGAAAATAACTAGTATGGGAAATCTATAAACTAGTTTTCCCGCCATTCTTATTATCTGATAGGTCTAATGATTTCCCAGAATTAGTATAAATACCCAAAATTACTTATTTATATTTGGAAGACGAGAGATGAAAGGGGAATTTCATTTTTAACAAACCTTAAAATTTATCAAGCTACAAAAAATAGGGCACCATCCGTAAACGTAAAAGGACTTTCTTACAGCCGAAATTTCACTTTCGTTACTTTATTTTAAACTTAATTTCCGTATATTTTATCCTTTTACAACCAAATTTATTTATTTATTTATTTATTTTTTGTTTGTAAACCAGGATTTATTATTATTTATGGGTTTCTTTTAGGGAGAGTCAATTTATTGTGGTTATTCAAACTTTGAAAAATTATGTTTGATAACTTTTATGTAGGAATAAGAGGGAATTAAATTTTTAATTCGCATTATATTAAGTAATTTTGAGGTGTTTCTATTTAAATATATTTGTTGTTAATAAATTAATTAAATTATCATCAACAAAGATATCAAGGTTTCGGTATGGTAGTTTTATGTTTTATACTTTTAATAAAAGTAATTATTTTAGGAGCATAAATTCATCAAAAAATATTTATTGAAACAGTGTAACCTCGATTTTACTCTTCCCTATGGAACAGCATTTTAAAACGTTAAATGCTGGAAATACGTATAACATATGGCAGCAGAATGGGTAAACAAGAAATTAGGAAGTTGAATTTTGTTAACATTTTTTTTTATGAAATATCTTAAAAGCTTAAAATAAAAATATATATTTTTAAGTATTCTGTGTTTTAACACGTATAGCAAAATTTGAAACGGATTCTTTATTTCCCAAAGCGCATGATGACAATCCAGACTTTTTTGTGTAAGGTCAAGCTTTCCTTTGCAGAATTCAACTTTATGTTTTCTACAGTAAATCTATCATCTGGTTATTATCATATTAAGTTAAATGAGAAAAGATAATTAGAAATTAGCATTTACAACTAATTGTGGTCTTTATGAGTTTAATAGATTACCTTTTGGTTGGAAAAATTGTCCATCTGTTTTTCAAAAAGCCCTTAGACAAATTTTAAATAAATATAGATTTTAGTTTGTCTTATTACATATCGTTTTTGAGTTACGTGAGATACATACATACATTCGTACAGATGTCACGGAAAAAAAAAAAAAAAAAAAAAAAAAAAAAAAAAAACCCTTTTGAATCCATTTTGCAATCCGTTTTGGATGAAACAGACCTTTCTTCTGTCCGTATGTACAGAGCTCACGAAAAAGGAGGGGGGTCCAAATTATTCGGGAATGGTCGAAATGGATATGTATTTCCCTTGAAATACGATACCCGAAATTTTTCCCGAGTACAATAACTTCCGTTACATCGTACAAAGATGTAAAAGGTGCAATGCGAGAAATTTTAGCAGCAAATCAAAATTTGTACTGCATTATTTCGGTATTTGACAGTTATCGCACTAAATACGGGAAAATGATGAATTTGGAAACGTAAAAAAACGGAGGTCTTCCTGTAAAATACAAAGGCATATGACAAGGAATCAAAGAAAATTGGCAATTATTGAAGCATATTTACTTTCTGGAGATGCATATTCCAATAGACTGAATAAATGCACATCACAGTGAATTATATCTATTTAGTTTTACTTAAAATAGGAAATTTCTTACAGCAAGTATATTTGTATGATATATATCACCCTTAAGAGAGTTCTTTTTAAATGGCATACTTTAAAAGAATCTTAACTTGTATATCCAACTTTAGTGCTCATTCACTCTTTTTTGGCACACAGGATCCTCTTTTGGCACTTTGCCTAAATCATGCCGAAAAAAGAAGAGTGGAGAGTCATCTGGATCTGTATTCGTAGAGAGAGTTACTTTAGGTAAAGTCTAGTACTATGTATACCTCTTGTGATTTAAATTTGTGTTTCAAACATAAAAATGTAATCTTAAAATTTTAATTTAAATTTGTCAGATTAATATATGGGAGCTCTGATTTATTTTTCTCTAAGTATACTAATTTTTGATTGTGTTGATTTAAGGTTATTCTATCTTTAGATGTGGTGAGAAGCTTAACAAAAGAGCATAGTGTAGGTAAACTGTTTAAGAATTTGCTGGAGCAGAATTTTCAGAATGAGGTTGTTTAACCCTTCTTGTATTCCTGCAATGCTGAAATGAGTTTTCTTTCAAAATCTGTTTCTGTAGTAACAAAATTATTTTATAGTATGTAAATATTTTTATCATTTAATTAAGTGTTAGGTTTGTTGAATTAAGATTAATAAAGTTAAAAGATTTTTAATGTCTCTTAAGTGCAGTACTGTATTAAATAATTTAATTATTAAAACCATGCAAAATATTATGTCATTATTTAAATCACCTGCTAAAAATTGAAATTTAGTATTTAACAAAAAAAAAAAAAAAAAAAAAAAAATCCATGAAGATTAGAGAAACAGATTTTTTTTGACAATTTGTTAACAATCTCAAATTCAAATTATTTATATGTATCAAAATGGTTATGGTATTTAGAATGGATGATTAAATATCATTATTTTACAAATTGAAAAGTATAGACCTTTCTAGATATTCTGTAATCTTTTTTCATGATTTAACTAAACTTTGAAATGCTTAAAGCATAATAAATAGTTTAATTTGGCTGTATTTATATTTTTCTTTGGAAATATTGGATGATTTATCTAATTATTTTAATTATTACATAATTTTCTGCTGAAGTGTTTTTAAAGCTTCTTCATGTAGTGTATAAAATTTCTTCTGTTTTGCATATTTATTATATTATTTTTTTCCTGAGCAGATGATTCTTCACATGGTACTTCTGGTAGAAGCAGCCTTACTAAAAGTAGCCCTGGGTGCCGTAGGAAATTAAATTTTATACCAAATAATGCAACACCTGATGATAAGTCAAGCTCTTTATCTTGTCGCAGTCCTGACTTTTTAACTTCTCATTTAAACCTAGAAAATGATGACAGTTGTACTAGTGGATCCACAGTTAATCCATTATATGAAATGCTGACTGAAAAAAGTAAGTTTTATTTAATATTATTGAAGATTTTTTTTTAAAATCACTTTGATATTTATATGTTTTTCTATTCATGATTCTCATTGATATGAACATACTAATTTAAAATGATGTACCATTACTTGCTCAGTAATAAAAATAAAATGTCCTTTTATAAAATACATTCTTAGAAGTGTGAATATGGCTTATATTATTAACTTATATGGAAACATTGCATACAAAATGCATTTTGTGTTTAAAGATTTCTTTACCAAAACTCATTCTAAACAATTTATGTTATACAAATGTCTAAAAAATACTACTTTTGGTACTTTTTGATTATTTGCACTCTCATGAAAATTCGGCAGTACATTGGCAAGAAAAAAACCCCCCACTTATTTGGGTATATTTATGACTTATAGGTTCTGTTGTGTTCATAAATAATAATAAAAAGAAGCACATCATGAAAAATAATGAATTTTATGTGGAGAAAAGTCAATATAGCCAATATCTACATTTTTCAGCTTCTGGAACTGTTCAGCCAAATGATGGTTAAGTATAAAATGTATAAATTCCTGTGTAATCACAGTAGTCAGGAATATACATGCATGAGTTGCCTATTGCCATTGTATCGACTTGCAAATATGCCCAAATCCCAGTAGTTCTACTGAATGTTGAAACTGTGGATATGCATAATCAGAAAGTACCCTTGCTTTTTATATATTTAGAATATAAAATTATTTTTATATATTTAGAATATAATACTATTTTTATATATTTAGAGTATAAAACATTTTTATCCCTTCTTTTTTATATATTTAAAATATAAAACTGTTTTTATATGAAGGAATAACATGAATATATTGACTGTTTTGTTCAATAACCGTATATCACATTTCATGCTATTTCATGATTCAACTTTGTAAGAATTTCTGATCTCTTTCCCCACATAAATATTTTTCAAGTAGGATTCAATACTGTTATTTGGTTATTTTGGCATTGCCATGATGGAATGCAGTACCTCTATGATTCACCAATTTTGAATGTTCATGTTGAAAGTATTTTTCAGTTTTGTTTATTATTGACAGTAGACATTGGAATTAATATTTTTATTTCTGAGTAAACGCTCAAAATATAATTCCTTTACAATGCCATCAAACTAATAACACGATCTGTTTTGATGAATATTGACTTTTAATATTGAATATTGACTTTTAATGATGTTTGAATAAGCTGACCAACTCGGACTATGATCTTTGAATTCTTTGTGATTGGAAAGAATCCATAATTGTCTCCAGTTATCAGTCACTTCAAGAATGGTCATTTTGGCTCTATTTTAAAAACAAATCACATATGCGAGTATAGTGTTATACAATTTGTATTAGATTCATGTGAGATTCAAACATCAAGTTTATTTTCATTATCAGGCCTTTTTCAATCAGTGATTGTTGGGCATGAATTTAGACTCTCAGTAAACTCGTGATTTTTTTTTTTTTTTTTTGAGTTAAGTAACAATCAGCATTTCAGTGCTAAGTTGTATTTGATTCTGGTTTGTTTGTTGTCTCAGTTCTACCTTGCAGGGCAGCTGAAAGTAGTTTCCAGATGACCTAGTGAAAGGAAATAATCACAATATAATTTTAAACAAAAGTTGTTTCAGTTTATGATTACCCAAAAGTGTTTATTAAGGTTTTTACACACTCACTGTGCTCCTAGTCTACCAGTCTGCTGTTGTGCTCACTCTAGCGTGTATATTTGGAACTCTCGATGCAGTGTTAAGTGTTGGCATACATTTTCTACTTTTTTTTGTCTTTTCTCGGTTCATCAAATCAGTGTTCAGTTTCCTTAATAAGATGGCTTGCAAAAAAGTTTTTTTTTTGCCTTCTTATTATTAACATTTTGTGGGTTAACTTTATTTGTTGAAGATCACGTTCTTTACATTTAACCACCTGAAATTACAAAGTATGTAAAAACAGCCTGTCTTAAGAATTTATAATATACAGTCTTCCATGATGGAAATAAAATTGTTGTATTCCATACAGTGTTGCCACTGTTAGCTTTCAAATCATTGAATTTGTTAAACAAAAATTCACTAAAGTTTCACAAAATGTGAAATATAAAATTTGAAATTCAAAGCTCAGACTTCCAAGTGCACATACTTGAGTGAAGGATTACGTTATTCAAAATTTAATTTTTCTGGGTGTTATTGTTTTTTCACAGTGCAAGGAACATGCATACATACATGCATATTCTTCATTGTTTAATTTCTTTAAAAATAATACAGGGCGATAATATTTGGTGGGAACAGTTTGAAAATTGATACAGTCATTTATAGTGGATGATGCAAAATCTTGTTTCAAGACCAGTAGGGCATTGGCTAATTCCTTTTTGAGCTAAAAATACCATTTAAAAATTCAGAAATTTTCCTTTCTTTGTATGAAAGGCCTTTCTTTAGTAAAGGAATTGTAAAATGTAAGAAGTACATATGAAAATGAAGCTATAAAGCAATACAAATTGCTCTCAAGATTTTAATTTTATTTGGTTAAAAGAGGTGAAAACAAATATGGTAATATTTATTGGTAAGAAAAATTGAATGCATTTTTGTTATTGGGTTTGTTTTGTTTTGGATTATTTTGTTATGGGTTATTTTGTTATTTGTTATTGGGGTAAGAAAAATCGAATGCATTTTTTATTTGTTATTGTTTAAGTTTTGCTTCTAATAAATAAGGAAGTTGTTCTTCCATGCCAAAAGTGAATTTTTAAAATGGGTTTATTAATGTTACTGTATGGTTGAATTGGAAACAGAAGCTTATTCTCCTAGAATGAATAAAATTTGGGCAGCTAATATTATTTTTTTCTTTTATTTAATGTGTTAATTCTTACAAAACTATTATTAAGATTTCATGGAAGGTTTTAATTAATATGTGGAAAACATTTTAAACCTTTTATTTAGATAGCCTATTTGTTAATAAAACATTTAAATAGGAAAAAGGAAAATTTTAAATACATAACTTCAGGCACTTAGTGAAAGTTAAATCTGTATACAGTCTAGTTAACTATCAGATATGCTATCCAAAGTCTAACTGAAAGTTCTTAACATATATAAAATTTTTTTAACATAAAAATCTGAACTTTAATGGCTGCTTTATAATTTATTTAAATTTTATATTTGTTTATTGTATAAAATAAATAGTACTTTTTTAAATTAATAAGTTTTTTTCTTTCCTAGTTGTCTCAGGAAACCAAAAGCTCGGCATTACTAGATTAGATGATTCAAATTCTTCCATGGCATCTGGATCTAGCGTAGGAAGGAAATCAAGTAGTACACTTGTTAGTAGGCATACTAGCCATGATGGAAATGATCTTGAAGTTGGTTCTGTGGTAGAAGTTTTAATTAATAGTAATCCATGTTATGGTGTTATTCGTTGGATTGGAGAAATTCCAGAAGCAAGAGGAAAACTTGTCGCTGGAATTGAAATGGTAATTTCATTTCTTAATTAACAACTTTTTTTCATATAGAAAATATTAGTATTTTTTAATAATTTGATTACTACTATGAATTTGCAGTGTGCAATAATAGCATTAAACATAATTTTAATATTCAAGAACAGAAATGCTATAGTAATGCTTGCAGTACTAAGGAGAAACATGCTTGTAAAGATTTTTGAGGAACTATGGATGGGGAGAAAAAGAGAAGGAATAAATAAAGATGAGAAAGCATTTACATTTTTTAAAACTAATATTAGGTTCATCTGCATTGGGGTATCAAATTTTGGGATTGCATTTGGAGGGGGGCAGAAAACGTTTTGGCCAGTTTAAAGGAGATTATTTTTCTGGTAAAAACTAGATAAAATTGCTATCATTCATGGGAAGTGGAAAATATTGCTTGAAAGCTCTGGCTTCAAAATATCAGTGGAAATTCTGGTGATTGAGAATATGGTAGATAGTAAACTTTACTATCATGTCTTATTAACTCCTGAGTGATCACATATGCTAGATAATTGAAAGATCAGTCGCAACATTATCCTACTGAAATGAAATTGAGTCAATAAAGGAGGAAGAGGATCATTTCTGATTGAAAATTAAAGTTCAACATTCATTATTCCTTTTAATATAACAAGTCAACCTGAACCATGCCAAATGAATGCACTCCAAATAATAACAGAACCTTTCAGAATTAGAAATAAAAACCTAGCAGAAATGTTTCTCTTTGTCTTCTGACTTTTACTTGCTAAAATAACAGAGACAATACAAAGGAAATGATTATTTGATCCATATGCCTGCTTATTTTGCTTGTGTTCTTTATACTATTGTGGCAGGCAATGTATTTTGATGTCAGGAATCAAAATCTTATATAAGTCAACCTGCTGCATATCATTGGATAGTTCACAGTGCAAAATTTTGGTTGAAACTGGTTTCTCCTGATGGTGTAGGAAACTTTCATATAATTATTCAACAGTAGTGAACTTGAATTTCTTAGTATAATGCATATTATGTTCCAGTTTTAAAACATTTCCAACCACTGTTACATTTTACTAAAATTGATTTTTGTGTGTAATGCAATGCTGACAAAAACTGGAGATTGCTCTATGGCTAACTTGTGCAGTTTCAGTTGTTTGCACATCAGATACACTTTCCAATAATGAGCCAACAATGCTACCATATTGGAAATCAAGGAGGTCCTTTATTGGGTATATTCTAAAATGCAATGTAAAGGAGCTGGCAGGTATACATCATTGCTTGGATTGTTGAAAGTAAAGCTATTTATCAGCTGCATCTGTGATAGTTTTTAAATGCAGTACAGGTAGTGTGGACCAATAGTTCTGTGTTCTCTCCCTTTTTTTGCCTAATAAATGCACATATGAAGAAATAGTACATTTAATTATCACCTAAAGAAATGTGTAAGATTTGAAAGACATACTAGCAATTGGATAGCATTTAATTCTTATTTCAGCCTCAAATAAAGTACAATTATATTCTTTACAGTAATAATGGTGTAATTATCATGTACTTTTTCCCTGTGTTCTTTTAAAGTTAAAAAAAGGGAATGAGTAATAATTAAAAAAACTTTAACTAATAATTAAAAATAACAACAACTAGCTTTACAATACATATTGCAATTACAAGATACTTATAGTAATTCAGAATCCATTTAACTGGTGCAAGACTATTTGATGCCTGTGCCCACCTCCTAAAAAAAGGTACGACTGCTGTATGTTGCCTGTGCAGTGTATACAGAGCTGTCTTAATTCATGGCCTCAATGGGTACTTGCCAGGGGCCACATGAAGCATATACGGTCAAAAGTCATTAATCCGGACTCGTCGGGACTTCAGCGATTCTGGATTATCGATTTTTCCGGATTATAGATCATCAGTTTAAATCTGGTAAGATGGCATGCAAAAATTATAAAATTAAAAATATGAAACCGTAATTTATGAAATAAAGAACAATTATGATCTAAAGGGTATCAAAATTTACAAAAAAAAGCTTAATATTTATTTGTTCACTTTATTAAACATTTCTTTCAATGTAAGTTGTTTCAGTTAATGTAAGTTGTTTAAAAGTTAAATTTTTATTTGTTCACTTTATTAAACATTTCTTTCAATGTAAGTTGTTTAAGTTGCTTCGTTTTATCTGATAATACTTTCTCTTTAATTCTATAAACAGACATAATTTCGTGTTCAGTTACAAAGTTCCGCTGTTCAAGTCCTATAATTGCTGTGTTGAGAATACCGACTAATTTGTCAATCGAAATTTTTTCATTTTCAATAACCTCTGTGTCACTTTCTTCACTATCGGAAGGAAATTATGATGACGAGGAATTTGGTTTAAATCATATCCGGAATACATCGAGATGAAATACTACATTTAGTAAGGAATTATAAGCCAAATAAAATGAAAACATCTGCCCTGAAGATAAGGATAGTGCTGACAGATTGATATTCCAATTCATTGCGTGCCACGGCGTTTCCCCCGCCGATCAGCGTGAAATTGATAAACAGATTTCGGATTTCGAAACTTACTTTCGCTTTAGATCCTTTACATATTAGCAAATATATATCGGAAATTCTATTTGATATAATCAAAAGTTCAAGCTTACTTTTATAAAATTGCTCTAACAGTCTGCAAAAAATAATAAGCCATATCCAATTCAAAGATTAAGGAACAATCTGCAACATTAACCGAAATAGATAATTTTAGCTTAGCTTATACTGTCCGTTATACATTAAACGCGCTTGCGTAAACATACTTTGCGCATGCGCACACGCATATTCGCAGCCCTAAAGGTCCTACGCGAATGCGTCAACGCGACGCATGCGCAGAAAGTTTGTAGCTTTGAGGTCCGGATTATAGGTGTCTCAATTAATGACTTTTGACTGTACTATGTATTAATTTGATAGTTAGTCATTTTTAAGTAGCATTATATGTATAATATTTCAAAGTGCACACATTGTGTGTTCAGAATAATAAATAAAAGGCAAAAAATTCCATTTCTGCAGTGCATTGTTATAGCCTTACAATGTAAGAACAGAAATCAGGAACAGGGAAAAATTTTTATTGGCAACTATTTCTATTAATGATATATCACAGGTTATACATAACAACAGTATAAATATATGGTGTTGGTGTATTTAATTATGGCAAAGCACACTAGGGCTATCTGCCTAAGAGGAGAGATGCCTTTCGTGGAGGACTTTCTGAGGGAAACTGGCTCGTATACACGTTACACATGGGAAAAACCACGAAAACGCCCATGCAGCCAGCCCGTTCGCGGGATTCGAACCTCGGACCGAACTACCAGTGTTCAGCGTCTTTACCACTCGGCCGCTGGTGGGCTGTATAAATATATGCATTTATGGCTTGCACTTGAAAACACAAAAAAAAAAGGCATTTGATAATCAATTTCATATGCAATTATTTAATTAAATTATTTAAGGCTGGATATGATCTCCATAAATTATGTGAGAAATTAAACTATTATTTTTTCTGTAGATATTGTGGAATGTTGGCAGTGTAATCTAAAATACTTTTCACATGTTGACTGAAGGTTTTCCACAGCTCATGTTTGTGGTTATTTTATTTTTTTTATCAGAAGATATTTAAATATTAAAAATTAAAGAAAAATTACTAATTCTGTTTTTCTTTTATGTATTATTTTAATATTTAATATTTAATTTTCAGTTTATTTTTTTTGAGTTTGTATTATTTTAATATTTAATTTTCAGTTTAATAAGTTTATTTTAAAGACTTATTCCATTTTCATTTGAGTTGCTTCTGTTAAAATCATTTGTAAGTTATTATGAGAAAAAGAGTTAGAAATACAAGAAAATGCTTATTTCTCTATCTGGGGGGGGGGAAGAGTAATATACTGTAGAAATATTTAAAATCTATATATCTCTGGAACATACTTTCTTGAATATAGATAACATAATATTTATTTATTAATAGCCACATTAAAATGTAAAAGCCTTGTTAATTTATTAAAATCCTTTTTCTGTTCAAAAATTTTTTTAATGTTGATAGTATCTAGTTGGGGCTGTCAGAAAATCTAATTATGGCTGTTAAATATTTCTGATAGTTAATATACAGTTCCTACTGATGTAAAGTATAGATTTAACCTGGCATACATACTAAAATCTCCCTAAGGCAACAACTAACAGTTTCTGACACTTCTAATCTTCTTTGAATGTTCTTGCACTAAAGGAAAAACTATCAGCAGCACTCAGTACCTTTACTTATATATGTTTCATAAATATTGGTCTTTTTCAGAAAAAGTCATCTTAGAGAGTGATCATTGCAAAAGGACTCATTGTAACAGTATTCAAATAATATTTGTTTAGTATTAAATTAAACAGCATTTAATGGGATTTTAGAAACCAAACAGTTTGTTTCTTGTTTGTTTCCAGGAACAAAGTATTTTGGTACCCTTAGATTTGTCTAATTGTAAAAATGGCTTTAGAAAGTCACAGTTTATTAATCAAGCTACATATGTGAGAAAAGGGTCATTGAGTGGCAAATGAATGGATGCCATAATGTATGCCATATTATTATTAATTAATACATTTTTATTATTTGCAGATATTTTTGTATACAGTGTATATAATTCCATAAGCATTTAGGTACTCAAATCATACAAGCTGTTGCAAGTATATGTATTAAACAAATTATATTTTACATACATTTAATAACCTGCATTTTGCAACTACAGGCATTAAAATATGTGTTTAGTTAATTGCTTCAGCCTAAAGAGTTTTTAAAAAATTTTATTCTCTTAATCTCTTGAAATAGATAATTTAATTTATACGAGCCAGTTTCCCGTAGAAAGTCCTCCACGAAGGCATCCCTACCCTTAGGCAGATATTTGAAATATCGGAACTTACTGCCATTATGGTGGCTAAAAGGCATAAGTTTTATTTTACATTTCTGTTACTATTTTTTTTATACCCTCATTAGTATTTCTGCATCTATGAGTATCGTGATATCACGTATAAACGGATTTAAAGTGTGCAACTAGTAATGTAGAGTGTTCTACATGTTACCAATTGCAGAGAAGGGTGCATCTGCAGCTAATGAGTTAATATTCATGTAATCTCTTCCCTTTCTAAAAGTAATTAAGTAATTATTTAGTCTATCTGTTGAGCATGAAAAGTTTCATTCGTTTTCTGCGTATCGTGCAAACATTTTATTTTTGAATTTAGTTACTGACATTATGAATACTTTCTACATAAAATTAACTAAAAAGAAACTCTCCCTAGGGAAAAAAACAAAGACAAAAACTTAGATGCTGGTATGATGGATTGGATTATTTAATTATGGCAAAGCACACTAGGGCTATCTGCCTAAGGGGAGGGATGCCTTGGTGGAGGACTTTCTAAGGGAAACTGGTTCGTATACACATTACACATGGGGAAAACCATGAAAATGCCCATGCAGCCAGCCCGTTTGCGGCATTCGAACCTCGGACCGAACTACCAGTGTTCAGCGACTTTACCGCTCGGCCGCTGGTGGGCCAAACATAAAAGAAGAAACATCATCTTGTTAAGTGTAAATAAAGTATAAGACCAAGTAATACTGACTTCATTACAATGCACACAATGTTCTTTTAGCTAATTGATAAATACTAATAACAGAATAAGCATTTTATTAATTGATTGAATTTTCTAAAATTCACTTTATAAGTGAAACACAAATAGTGTGATATAAAAAAAATATGTTTTAAACTTCTCTTTAGGAAGAAGAAAGCTCAAGCTGCACAGATGGAACATTCAATGGAAAGCGTTATTTTTCATGTCCTCCTAGAAAAGCCTTTTTTGTCCGTCTCAGTCACTGTCGCAAAGATAGTCGCTTTCAAGAATCTGAAAAAAGAAAAAGTGCAGGTATACTGAAGAAAGAAAATTTCATCCTGTTTTTTTCTTTTTATAATTAAATATCAAATGAAATATCTGTGAACTTAAATATTATGACCCCTGACTAGTGCTATGTTACACTTTGTATATAATAGATATTTGCACAGATTTTAGGTATCTTCTTCAACTTAATGTTTAGAAAAACAATTTTGGAAGTTTAAATGATGTAGTAATTACCTAATGTTGCATTCTGCTGGATAACTTAGGACTGAAATTTAGCATTTGATGAGATTTAAGTTTGCAGACAATGGCAACATAAGAATGCACCTAAGCATGGTTTTTGCATCAATGTGTAGTGACTGGTATTATGATACAGAATATGAACTTGAGAGAGTTCACTTCCAGTGATGCTGAATGTAGTCCTAAAATAGATATGATGCTAATGTTTTGTAATAGGAATGGATTCTCCAGTCTTTGAAAAGTTCCTTTTATTAGAATACCGCCATAATTTGCCTTTTGCTACTTCATTTCTGAAATTTAGCTGATTCTACTTAAAACTGAAAATAAATTTTAATGTAGTTAAAAGAATTCATTAATCCACCAGTATCTAATTGAAAGTTTATGCTAATGATTTAATAATTAATCATTCTATGTTATTTTCATTCATTATTTCATTACTGAGACTGATATTCTGTTACTCCTGAAGATTTAATTTTATAGTTGGTCAAGTTATTTCAGTTTTTGTAACGTATTTGTGAAATGTTGTTAATTATCTCGGTATAGTGCCACATAGATGGTACAGTGGTTAGTGATGCCGAATGCTGTATTGATAAGCCCAGGCTTGAGTCCTGGAGAAGGCATATATGTTTTTAAGTGTACAGCATCTGTGCAGCAAGGGGGCACTCAAAATACATGATGAGCTGAATGTCCTCTTAAGTGGTTGTTGGTAGAAAAAGAGGGATATTAGACCCTCGGACCACCCTCAGAGTGTTCTCCATCAAAAATTTCGGTTTAACTTAACAGTTAGCAAGGCTCAGCAATACCTCGTATACCTTCAGGAATGTACAGGTGCCAGCCTTGCTTCATTCTGTACCTGTATCTTAGTATGGCTAAGTTTTGTAAATCTTAATGGACATTGCAGTAGAATTTGAAATGATAATCTAACATTTAAAACTTTTTTAAAAGGTGACTTTTTTATTATATGAACATATTACAGTTTTTCAGATTGCCAAGACAATGATACAAGCAAGATTCTGAATAATTAAATTCCTTAAACTTGAAATTTATAGTTTTTTTAAGTGCTTCCTGAACCTTTTTCATTTTATTATTAAAATGAAATCTGTAGTATACACAGCTCAATCATATTATGGCTATGCTATAAAATAAAATTATGTGTCATTTATGTATATTTGAATATGTATTTGTGCAATATGGAGATCTAAATGTTTAAATTTAAATTGAATCTTTAAATTTAAATTAAGAGAACTTTATCTTGTCTTATATTCAGAAACGTTAGAGAAGAAGTTGCAGATCATAAAATTTAAATACCTAAAGACTTTTTTATGTATAGACATGAAGTTTATTTCAAACATATTAGTATTTATAATGATAGAAAAATTATTTATTTTGTACTAGTATTGCCTTTATTTATTGTAATATCTGAGAATAATGAGTAGTCGACTTACAAATACTGCAGTACTTATTGTTTAATGAAGTATTTGTATTGAATTTTTTAACAGTATTTGGCAGCATAGATTGTCCCTCAATTACTGGTGATGTACCACCCTTATCCAGTCCTGAAGATATGAAATTGCTTTATGGAAAAAATCGTGGTATTCAGGGGCATCACAATTCATGCTACTTAGATGCAACTCTCTTTGCTATGTTTTCCTGTACAGGAGTTTTTGATTCTATTTTACATCGGCCAAAAAATAGTGATGACATTGCTGAGTATGATGAAGTTCAGAGAGTTCTTAAAGAAGAAATAGTTAATCCTCTTCGAGCGTAAGTATCTGCTAAACAAATAAATCATGTTTTTCAGTTTTCTTCTTGTATGTTTTTTTTATTTATATGACTTTAACTGAAGCATTACTTTGTTTTTTTGATTTTTTAAAGGAATTAAAATATATTGTTTCATTAAGAGAAATATACAGTATAGAAGTTTAATCATAAAATTTATGTTTGATATTGTTTAAATTACTGTTTCTGTCATTTCATGAAAGTAGAATGTTACTGTGAAATCTTTCATAAGCCAAAATGGATTAAAATGAAGAAGCAGTTGCCACTAATTTACATGGAAAAAGGTTTTGAGCATTTTTAGATTTTCAAATAAACCTTCAAATCATACATACAACTTTTAAAATCTAAAATAATAGTAAAATTTTAATATTATGTATCAAAGTAATAACATGATACCTGCATAAACCATAAAAATAGAAAAAAATATACTTTTATGATTTAATTTCATCTTTGGGAAAAAAAAGAGAGCAAACACATTGGAAGCCATGAAGAGTATGGCGGTGATGATTTGTTTTCAATAGTTGAAGTTCAGTAGGAAAAGATAGAGCATATGGTGTAGTTAGAGAGATGAGAAGGATTATTAATCCAATATATTATTGTCATTTTCATCCATAACATCTTTGTGTTTGGAGTTTCAGTGCCAATGTAAAAAGTCAAAATTTATTGTGCTCCTTCTTTTGCTTTATTCTTGAAAAAAGATAATATGTCTGGTTGCAACATTTAAGACATTTCTTTTGTACCATATGTTTCTACACAGGCTATCAAAACATTTTAGAAAAAACACCTTACCCCACATGTCATTAATGCCATACCCATTGGTCATATTTTTATACAGGCATTGCACAGAAAAATGCAGAGAATACTTTCTTTTCCACCCTTTAGGCTACTATATGTCTGGTAATATTTCTTTTTATGAAGTTAATATTAAAATCTCAATGCATTTTAACAATAAAGACCAACATGCATACCTTCACTGTAATACTAGTTTTAAAGGAGAAAGGGAGAAGAATAAATATTTAAGAAGCTAACAGTGTTTAGAATTATGTCACCGTGGTTATAATTATAAATTTATTAAAACTGCATCATTTGATTTCTAATGTAAAGCATATTTTATCTAGTAAGTACTGTTTTGATGTTACATGACCACAAAAGCAATTTTTTTAATAATTTTATTTTTAAGTGAAAGCCTAGGCCTTAAATTTCACCATCAAACACTTATCATATGATCTGCTTCTGAATTCTATCTTCATAGAGATATGCCACTTGATTTGATAACCATATTTGGTGCCTATAGAGAACACAACTCTCAGTAATTTAAGCCTTCTGTCACAATTTCATACAAAACACTTCTTGAAACATCAGAAAACTTCTTAGATAAGGATGAAATTATAAAGCTTGATGATGAGTGACAAAGACAGCAACTGTCCATCATTAATGATAACCTAGTATAGAAAGCTGATGAAAAAGTTTGAGAAAACATATTTTATGATTTTTATTTCCATTACTATTCTCATGATTATTTTATCAATATCATTATTATAACTTTGTCAATCTTAGTAGCACACACACACACACATATATATATATAAAGCCTGATTATCTGGCATTCAACGAACCAGAAAGCTTAAGTAACTGGAAAATTTTTATAATTTCAGTTCTTTTTTTAACATCCTTTCTGAAAACTTAAGCAAATGGGAGACTTATAAAGCCATCAGAAATTACATACAGGGCTTTTGAAATCCCACTGATAACTTCAAATATGTTAACAGAATTATTCAGCTGTTAGGGAAAGATGAAGATCATTGCTTCTAAAAGAAGGAGAACTATCTTATATCCATCGTATTTTTCCAAGAATTCATCCTTGGAATAGGATACAGTTCACAGAAGGAAAACTAAAGATTTGCTACCAAAGAACTGCTAAAGGGAACTAACTATCTTTAGAAGTTCTTTGTTGCTATGGCGTGAGAGCATATGAGAGACTCCAATGTTCACAGAAAACTTTTAGTTTGTGTATTGCAATCAGTATGCTCCCTGGTTTGTTTAACAGAGGCGATCAAAGCCTTCTCAGTTCTGTTAAATGCATCTTGGACAAAGATCTTACAGTTATTTTTAAAAAATTGCTACTTAATGTATACTTTCCCTTCATTAACATATACTTCCCTATGTTGCCAAATAGTGTGATGTACTGCCAATGATGTAAAAATGTATTGTCACAACACAGTTGTAAGATCTTCACCTTAGGTTTATGTAAACCAGATTAATTCTTGATAAGTCAGTTAAGTTTTTGCAAAGAAAGTATAAGATAACTGTTATTCATCTGCTTCCAATTGCTGTTTGAAAAAAGGCTACAGTTTGAGATCTATGAGACTATGAAACAGTGTGGTGTATTTTCAAAGTTATGGGATCCTGGCATCAAGAAAAATGTGTATTAATGCCCACAATGTGCAATTTTATTTAAAAATGAATAAATAATGGTGATGCAAAATGAAAAATGATGATATGTGATGTGAGTTGTTTTATACAATTGCATCCACAACTTGAATCTTATGATTCTAATTAAATAAAGAATGATCGTTTTCCTGTAAGCTTCTACCAGAACGATTGCCGCAAATTTGGTGGCATCCCTGCTAGCTTTCATGCTTGATGGCATTTATAATTAGATAAGATATTTTAATTTCATATATTGAATTGAAATATATTAGGTTGAAATATATATGAAATATATTAGGTTTGATCTATGAAATACATTTTTTTCCCAAAATCTTACATAACTTTAAATGTAATGTTATAGCTCATAACAAAGAAGCTGACTGTTTTTAAAACATAAGATCAAAAAATTCTTTCTCCAGTGATCCAAAATCACTTTTCTACTATGCACTCAACTATCTGGAAACTTCACATATCTGGCAACAACTGCTAATTAAAATTTTCTCCATTTTTGCTATTGTTTAAAATTCTGCATCATCAGCATTATATAAATAGTATATCAAAATCAATGATGTATGACTGCACATCAGAAAGGCTTATTATAAGTTTATGAGCATATTATTGTTTAAGACAAGGATGGGAAATATGAGCGTAGGAACTATTACTAGTAAAAATAAAAATATTAAATGAAAACAATAAAATTTTGGCTTTTAGCAACAGTTTTTGTTTTTCTTTTTCATTTTAGTATAGATTTCTTATATAAGTATTTTAAAAGCATTTATTTAGTTCTGAAGTAAACAAAATTAAAATTTTGCTTTCATAGTACAGGGTGACCCAAAAGTCCATTCACATTTGGAAATTCAATATTTCACGTAATTAGAGAGGTAAAAATTGCCACACATGCTTGAAATGACATGGGGTTTTATTGAAAGCCCCCCCCCCTAAAAAAAAAGAAGAGAGAGCAACAAAAGGCCAACATATGGCACTAGGCAACAATATATCAGTGATGCCATATGAGAATCATGTATGAAATGAGCTGCAGTGAGAGAGGGAATCAGTTCCTTCATGCCTTTGTCACTTTTCTATCCTTGCCTTCAGGTGTTGGGTCATTGTGTGATGTGCATTTATCACATCAATCATGATTGGACCCTTTTGTTTGAGGAAATGATGCGCGCTAGATGTCCGCTATTGCAATTCAAAGCACATAAATTCTATTGCTGCCACTGTGGCAGTTGATCGTTGGATCGTTATTGAGCTGTGTAATAAGTGCTGGTATTCAAACTTTCAGTGTGATGGGTGCGAGGTGCACCGATATGTTACAGAATTGCTTCATCACAAGTCTGGTTGATAAACACTTGTTCTAAGGCATGAATTTTATGCAGGATTGCACACTCCTCATTGCTACACCTGTGAAAGAACTTTTGCACACATTGTTTGGTGAAGATCATGTACTGACCTGCCACTTTCATCATGCTTGTCCTATCAGGTTCCCAGGTGTCGATACGTGTGATTATTGGTTATGGGGTTACCTGAAATTGGATGTCTACCACAATCGTCCGACCTCATTAGGGATGCTATAAGACAACATCTGATGACAGTTTCTCACCATACAGATATGCTCTACAGTGCTGTTCAAAATATTGTCCCTCGACTAAAGGTATGGCGACCGACATATTTAACCTTTGTTATGAAGAACAGTCTTTGCTAAAATTCAGTTGTTATGCTAATTATTTCTTTTTTATCATATGAAGTGCCATCTGTTGGCTGTTTTAAGTACTTTTTTTTTTTTTTTTTTTGCTTTCAATAAAATCCCATGAAATTTCAAGCATGTTAGTTTTTACCTCTCTACCTACATTATTCAGTGAGTTAATTGAATTTTCAAATGTTTATGGGCTTTTGAGTCACCCTGTATTTTTGTTCAATAAACTATTAAGCATGGTTGTTGTTGTTGTCTTGTCCATATTACATGGAACAATGGTTGCTAGAACCTACTCCTAAGAGAAGTTGGGCATCTGTTTTTCCACTCCAATTTTGAGGGAGAGCACCGGGGGGGGGATCCAGGGGTCTTCCACCCCTCTCCCCTTCCATAAATCCACACAAGAGGACTTTCAGCTCATTGCATATTTAGAGTGCCGCCATGCCGCACTGACACTATACATTTACAAACATCCATGTCTTCTACGGGATTCGAACCTAGACCCATCGGTATTGCAGTAGGCTCCACTAACCACTATACCGTTTGGGTGATGTTAAACATGGTATTATTAATAAATGTTATGCAATATCTAATATGAATGTTATGTAATGTTTAATATGAACTTCACTCTACATATATGTTTATCATATCGAATTCCATATTTTTAGGAATTTTTATGTACGTGCTGACCGGGTTATGGAACTCAGGAAACGCCTTGAGAGACTGAGCTCTGTCAGAGGTCTAACATCAGAAGAGAAGGGTATTGTAAAGTTCAAATATTTATGTGTGTGTGTGTGTGTGAAAAGTAATAATTTTTAACATCTGAATAATTATAATATGGATTTTATCTATAACTAGGTTAAAACTAATAGTTTCGATATTGATATTTCATATTAATGTAGAAACTGTTCATATTTCACAATTTGATGTAATGTTTTAACTGATTAATTGATACTCAGTCAGTTAAAACTGTGTTAGATATCCATAAATATCTTATTTTATTTGTGAAAAAATGTGCATTATTTATTTTTTATATTTAATATGTTGTTATTTCAGAATAGTCGTGTCAGTTTTTTTTAAACAGAAGTTAAGTATTTGGAAACCTGTTTTTATTATAATTTACCTTCATTAATTCTGCAAATATGCAATTTAGTAATATATTAAGATCTGTGAAATGATGCAAAATTATTTTCAAATTTAACCTGCAGCATTATCAAGGTTGAAGCAAAAATTTCTGAAAACCACCTGTTGATTCAAAAGTGGCACCTTTCAGAAATTTTTAGCTCAGAAGGGCTATTGATTTTGTTTTAACATTTTGTGTTGGTTCACTTTTCAAATTGTTGCCACCAAATATTATCACCCTGTTATATTTTAAAGAAATTAAATAATGAAGAATCTGCATAAATGTATGTATGTTTCTTGCACTGTGATAAGACAACAATACCTAGAGCCATGAAATTTTGAATAAAATGATCTTTCACCGAATATTTGCATCTGGAAGCCCTAATTTGGAATTTGTTTTATTATTGATTTAATATCTTATAAAACTTCAAAATATGAATTTCTGATTCACAAACTTAACGATTTCAAAGCAAGCAACCTCAAAACTATACGGGGGGGGGGGGAACTCTAGTGCACGAGAATGTGTATTGGAAATTCTAAATATATGCTTATTTTAAAATTATTTTGCAATATTGCTGTTGAATTGAATTTTATGGTTTAAGTGCAAAGAACATTTAATAAATAAAGGTAACACACAAAACGTTAAAAAAAGTCCTTTTGGGCTAAATGTAAAATCTGAAAGCTCTCAGATTTTTTTATTTTATTTTATTTTATTTGAAGATTTGGTTTCTTTGTGATTTGCTGGAGGAGGAACAAACAATAGAATTATACTTGAAAAACAAATTATTTAAATTATTGTGGGACTTCATTTAAATATCAAATTTGGAATACATAATTTTTCATTTTAAATTTACAGGTCTTTTTTATAGCATAGTCATGTATGTAAGATAAATTTTACTATAAAATTAACTTTTAAAATTTTCATTCTTTGATTACAGCATCAACACATAAAATAAAAAATATTTTAAATAAAATCACTAAAACTGAAAGTATCCAAATGATTGGATAAGGTTAATAAGGGATGTGAGTTTTTAATATATCCTTGCTGTTGGTGTAAATGTTTCAAAGTGTTTCTGAAATTGAAGTTATAACTTTACTTTGTGTGCGTCAATGCGACACATGCACAGAAAGTTTATAGCTTTGAGGTCCGGATTATAGATCATTCCATATTATGGGTGTCCGAATTAACAACTTTTGACTGTATAAACAACAACAATGATAATAATGAAAAGACGGAAATTAAAATTTACATTTATTTCTATCTGAAATCTAATGGTTGGTACCTGCAACAAATTTTTGTTGGCTACACTTTGTAATTACACTTATTATCTGCTAAATATTAAATTTTCAAGCTGGCATTCTTTTAAATTCTTATACATTTATTTAACCACTAATTTACTTACTTTTTAACTTAAACAAATTGCAAAAACTTTCCAAGTTGTATAAATTTTAAGAATGATTAATGATACCTTTTTTCTTTCTTTTAATTACAGTCAAAAGTCGTTAATCCGGACTCGTCGGGACTTCGGCGATTCCGGATTATCGATTTTTCCGGATTATAGATCATCAGTTTAAATCTGGTAAAATGGCATGCAGAAATTATAAAATTAAAAATATGAAACCGTAATTTACGAAATAAAGAACAATTATGATCTAAAGGGTATCAAAATTTACAAAAAAAAAAAAAAAAAAAGCTTAATATTTATTTGTTTACTTTATTAAACATTTCTTTCAATGTAAGTTGTTTAAGTTGCTTCGTTTTTTATGTGATAATACATTCTCTTTAATTCTATAAACAGACATAATTTCTTGTTCAGTTACAAAGTTTCGCTGTTCAAGTCCTATAATTGCTGTGTCGAGAATACCGACTAATTTGTCAATCGAAATTTTTTTGTTTTCAATAACCTCTGTCACTTTCTTCGCTATCGGAAGCGAATTATAATGACGAGGAATTTGATTTAAATCATATCAAAGACGGAGTACATCGAGATGAAATACTACATTTGAGTAAGGCAATTATAAGCCAAATAAAATAAAAACATCTGCCCTGAAGATAAGGATAGTGCTGAATTCAACTTGCATTCACCGCAGCCGCGTTAAAGATAAACAAAGTTTAGATAAACAAACGTTAAAGTTTAGATAAACAAGTGTTAAAGTTTAGTTAACAAAATATATGCCTTTATCCATTTTTTTGCAGCAATTCCACTTTTTGTTTAATGGACTCCGAAAGATACTTTCGCTTTGTATATCCTTTACATATTAGTAAATATATATCGGAAATTCTATTTGACAAAATCGAAAGTTTAAGCTTACTTTTATAAAATTGCTCTAACAGTCTGCAAAAAATAATAATCCGGATCCAATTCGAAGATTAAGGAACAACGCAATCTGCAACATTAACTGAAATAGATAATTAGATAATTTTAGCTTAGCTTATCCCGTCCGTTATACATTAAACGCGCATTCGTAAACGTATTTTGCGCACGCGCACACGCAAATTCGTAGCGGTAAAGGTCTTACGCGCATGCATCAACATGACGCATGCGCAGAAAGTTTGTAGCTTTGAGGTCCGGATTATAGATCATTCCGGATTATGGGTGTCCAAATTAACAACTTTTGACTGTATTCAATTTTTCTTCAACACACAGAAAAATATGTATTTTTATTTGTTACTACAACTTGATACTTGATAAGCATTTTGATTCTGATAAAATTTATAGCCTTGAAGAAAAATTGCATAAAATTATCTTCATCATGAATTGTAAATGCTCATAAGTCAGTAAGGTTCTTTCTTAGACTTGTTAATTTTCAACTGTTGAAAAAAACCGTTCACATATAAATATATTTCCAAACAAAGGAAAGAAATTTTCTTATTGCAAGAATTTGTGAAAACCTTTTGGAAAGTACAGATAAAAGTTAGTGAAATCTCTATTTTCAAATTTTTGAATAAGATTTATATCATACTGTCAATTAACTGCCAACATTTTTAGACTTTTTGGTGTGTTATTAATGCATGTTTTTAATGATGATGAAAATAGATGTAAAATCTCAATCCAAATCATTACAGCCTTTATGTTTTTGTATAAATCTTTGTCATAATAATTCTTTTTGTCCCTCCCACTCTTTTTTGTAAAACTGTATTATGAGATTTTTCATTTGAAATAATAGGGCAAAATTTAAAATATAAGAAATTATAAATTAAAAAAATTTTGTTTAGTGTTTGCAATTTTAAAAGTTTTAATACAAGCATACATGTCAGTGATAAGTTTATTTTTTCCATGCAGCTCTTTATTGAGAATATTTAAATGACCATTTAAGTCAACAAGAAATGCAAAATATATGCTTCTCTTTGGTGGTTTTCCTTTTTGTGTCATGAAAATTTTTATTTCTTTTATTAAATCAAAAACCAGTCTAATATAGCTCCTCAACCACCTCACGCCAATATAATTAACCATATTTTTCTACTCAATTTTGTTTCTCCAAGAAATAGAACAAATTTTTTTATGATTAAGAACTTGTTCACAGGTAAAGTTTATAATATAGCATATCCATAGCATATCCATTTGCAAATATTTACAGAAAGTACCGGGTGGCCATAATTAAACTGACAGTGCTCACAGTGTTCTGTAGCACAATCTATTTGCGAGAATGATGCCGCATTTTTTAGGAAGATTAAACAAGATGGGGGACGAAGGATTCCGCAAAAAAAAAAGTTCCAAAAGTCACTGCTAGGGGAATATTTGGCGCTGTGTAATAGAAAATAGAGTGTTAAACAAATGCAAATTAATACAGAAATAAAATTACCTTTATTATTATGGATATGCCATTATGGAATATGGATATGCCTTACAGTACGGTATGGAAAATCTTACGAAAGATTATCAACTTCTATCCGTACAAGATCAGCCGTGTACAGGAGTTACTGTACCCCGACCATGATAAGCGATTGACTTTTGCTCTCACCTATCTTGCCAGAATGGAGGTGGATGATACTTAGCCGTGATGGATGATCTTATGGGGAGACAAGGCCCACTTTTACCTGAATGGAACTGTGAATACTCGAACTGCTGAACTTGGAATGACAAATCATCACATGCAGTCACAGCAGTTCCCTTACATTCACCAAAGGTAACTGTTTGGTGTGGATTCACAGTGAAATTTATCATAGGTCCATTCTTCTATGAGAACATTACCCCGACAGGACCGGAAACCTGTTCTGTTACCATAGAGAAATATCACCACATGTTGAACAGCTTTGTTATTCCAGCACTTCAACAAAGACAATGCCTGGGGGAAATCATTTTCATGCAAGATGGAGCCCCTCCACACGTTTCTGTACAGGTGCAACAGATGCTATGACAGAAATTCACAACAGAAAGAGTCATTAGCTGCTACTTTCCAATTGCATGGCCACCTCAGTTGCCTGATCTTACCCCATGCGACTTCTGGCTGTAGGGTTACTTTAAGTCCAAGGTCTATCAAGGAGTGGTCCAGGACATGGCTACGTTGAAGGATAACATATCACTGACTGTATGAGAGATTCTTGCAGACATGTTACTTTCTGCTGTTGTGCATACTGTGCACAGAATGCAATATGTGGTCCACAACAACGGCAGCCACATTGAACTGCATTTGAATGCAAAATAAAAGGTAATTTCCGTATTGATTTGCATTTGTTAACACTCTATTTTCTATTACACAGCGCCAAATATTCCCCTAGCAGTGATTTTTGAAACTAATTTTTTTTTTCGCGGATTCCTTCTTCCCCCGTCTTGTTTAATCTTCCTAGAAAATGTGGCGTCATTCTCGCAAATAGATCGCACTACAAAACACTGTGAGCACTGTCCGTTTAATTATGGCCACCCATTACTTCTAGATGAATAATGCAAAGTATTTTGACCAAAATTATTCTGAAATTTTTCTCTTTCATTATGTTTCTTAATTTTACTGCATTTTTTCCAATCATAGTGGCTGCTTCATCTTTTGAGAAATCCAATCACTTTATCCGAATTTAATGTGTCTGTTACAATTTATATATCAGAAAAAAAATATCCTGTTTACCTTTCCCTTCCCCTTTTGATATGAATTGTTTCCAGTAGTTACTTCATTACTTCAAATTCATCAATAATACCCATATGAAAACAGCAAGTTGTGCTACATCTATGATGCCAGGAACTCTTATGAACTGCTATTGAGAATGTTGCAAAATCTATGTTCTTTTTCTTTTATTTGATGTTATAAGTCACAAGCAATTTCATTGGTATGTTCTTTCATTTACTAATGAAAACAAACTAATACTTTTACATTATTATTGTTTTTCAGGACAAAGAAGCTTATCAATGTTTAAGATTATCAAATAATGTTAATTTAATCAAATAATGTTTAAGAAATTTCTCATCAGTAAATAGTTTTGATTATTTTGCAGTAATGTGCATAAGACGAAAAAGTTATGTAAACTGTTGCTTCACTGGATTTATTTGTTACCGGGGGGGGAGGGGGTAAAAACACCTAGGTTTTTAGAAACTGAAATGGTTCTGTCCTAAGTTTGCCTTCCAATATTTCAGGTTTTTCTTTATGATTTGTTTCATAATGACAATATAAATTGTATTGTTTTGGAACTGATATATCCTTATTACAATTAAAAAATAAAATTTTATTCCACAGAACACCTCAAAAGTACATATATTCTCATTTATCTTGAAAATGTCCTTCTTTATTCCCTTTTCTTTTACCCTTTGTTAAATGTATGGCATGCAGTTTAATCTTGTAATTAAAATCACTATAATAATTGTATTTAGAATCTGAATTAAGCAAGATAAATTTTTGTATGAAAAAAATACTCAAAAGTTATGCACAGTTCTAAATGATGGGCTTTCATATTAATATTAGATCTAACAACAAGCACAAATAAAGAAGTTTCATAAGCTGTACATTAGCTTGTCTCCATTTGTGCAGTTATATGAGCTGTTCATCCAGCTAACCAATTAGAGACTGTCTGAAAGAATGTGTGTATCAAAAGTGCCAACTCAGTAGGAACCAATGGAAACACTAGAATATTAAAGCCTTAGTAATTGTTGTTTGTTAGCGATGTGAGGAGTTCTCCCACCTTACCCCAATTATGGGTTTAGGCATACAACTCATATCATCTGAAACCTACAGTGGCAAAGACACAATGCCATAAAATAGTTTGCCATAAAAACAATATGTTCATTTTAGCTGTTTTACGTACTCTTTTTGTTAAAATTATTGATGTATCATTTAATTTTCCTTCCTGTGTATTAAAACAAATTATTTATTTATTTAAAAATTTATTTATGTATAACATTTTAATTACCCTATAAATATGATTATCAGAGGTTGTTTTATTTTCAATATTTTTGCTTATAAATATGTGATGCTTGATTATTAGCAAAAATTATATATTATATTTCTAAAATATATGATTTTAAAGTTATAAAAGGGTAATGAGATTACATAAAATGATTGAACAATTAAAAAATGTTTTTACTTTTTAGATCCTGAGGAGTTTTTAAATTCTTTGTTGAATCAGATATTGAGAGCAGAACCCTTTTTGAAATTAAGGTAAGTATTAAAAGTGTATTTAAGAAGCAGTGGGAAAAAGTAAAGTTAACATCATTAAATGCATTTAAAAAGTATATAAAAATACTATGTATATATGTGTAATAAGTGCATAAAAATGATATAAAATTAAATATAATATGAAAAGGGCCTAAAATCTGGTTTTTGATGGATGGAATGTAATTGTAAAAAAATGGAGTGTAATTGGAGTACTTGCAATCATTAAAAAAAATTAACTTGCAATTTTTCATTCAAAAATAAATTATTTTAATATTATTTTATTGTTTAGACACAACATATTTTTCATTAAAAAAATTAACTTGCAATCATTAAAAAAAATTAACACGCCATTTTTCATTCAAAAATAAATTTTTTTAATATTATTTTATTGTTTAGACACAACATATTTTTTTAAACTCAGATAATCATTACTACATTTTATACGCAATTTTTGTAAGTTTATTGTAATTGAGTTTTGAGGGCTTTGAACATGTAATTAGTTGAAGTTGCAAAGTATAAGTCTTTTCAATGACATTACCATGTCTCACGTCATAAATATTTTCAGACAAATATTGGAGAAATCTTGAGGGAAAGAGTCGCCCAGTGTGTCTCAAGCAGAGTTGAGTGATGCTAAGTGACAAAGAAAAGTTAAAAAAAACATGTCTCAAAAAATATTTGAATTATGTGATACTTTTATGGAAGATGACTCATTATCCATATAACATCATCTCTTTCTCATCACTTTCTTTATATGCTGTCCACTCACCTTGATTTGGTTATGATTAATTTTCATGTATTTAATTTGTGCATTGCCTCTCTCTCTTTTAAGTCATAGATTTAATGATTTCAGTTGTTTTTTTGTTATGAACTTATACTGCTGTAAATTTTAAATAAACAATCATCTGTGGCAGGAATGAATTAAGTATATGAACTGAGGCTTCACACTATGTGAGTGATATGTAAATTTACAAAACTAAATAAATTTCTTTTTGCGATAAAATGTATTTTTTACTCATACTTGTCTATGAAATTCAGACTAAACAGGAATTATAAAAATATGCAGGAAAATCTGGACTTCTGGGAATCAGACATTGCTGAAGATGTAGGAAATCATACATATAGTCACTGTTGTTCTTTTATCTACTGGTTTCCAGCTGATACAAACCAAATATTTACTATTAAATAAAATTAGCATTCATTTAAAAAAATAAAAAATTAAAACTATAGAGTCTCGCTTTTTTTGAAAGCAAAAATTGCAGACTCAACATGGAAAACGAAGTAGCGAATACTCGCTATGTTTTTGAAGAATAAGTACTGAAGAAGAAGGTTTTAAATAACCTTTTTATTTGAACTAAATTTAACAAGATGTCCTCACTCATTGCTGATAATTTACCACCACTTGTGGCTAACTTAAATTTAACAAAAAATAAAAGTGTAACAAATTACTAGTAAATTTGAATAGCTAACAACTGGCTCTTTGGTTTATCTAAACCGCTAAATCAGCTGCACACAGCAAAGCCAAGCCTAGAATATCAATATAAACTCAGAGGTGTCTAACACCAACTAGAGAGCTAATTTCAAACATGCAGCATAAACTCAGAACTAACTCCGCTACTACTTCATGAAGTCTTAAAACACAGCTTAAACACTGCTTCTGACACAGGTTTAGATTTTGCATACTACATCATTTAAAATTTTCATTCTGACTGGAAACTGAAATCAGAAGGGACAGGAAAGTTAAACTAAAAATAATTGGTTAAAATAAAATAAGGTCTTTACAAAACATTCATTTTTATGTTTCTTTTCTAGATATAAATTGATATAATAGCCAAGTATCAAAATATTATTAAAAAGTACCTAAAATTGAAAATGAAATATATTGAGGATTGTCATCTGTATGTTAGTGTAGAATTAGATTTTATTTTAATGCTTATGGCAGTATATACATGAAATAGAATCAAAAAAATTGTGTTGATGTATGTTAGAAGCATCTTTTATTTATTAATTATAATATTAATATAAATACTAACACTTGTTCGAGAGATTGTTTGTTCAAATCATTTGTTTTTAAAAGATGTTCTTTGTTATGCTGATGAGCAGTGCAGATTTATAATATGGAAGATATATGAAAGATGCCTCATTGGTTTGCATCAGCTTCCTCTTTTGCTTGGACACTAATATATTACCTTTTGTGTTAAAAATAATAACTCTGAGTTTAAGTGTTAACGTGTCCAAAATAAAACATCACATGAGAAATATTATTGGATTTCCTTCTGTATATGATAAAATAAAATATAGTTTTTTGTGGATGTTTTATAATAAACTATGGTTATTTTTATTGTTTAGGGTAAATTATAAATTATATTTTTAGGAAGTATATTTTATTGATTAGCGTAAGTTATATTATAGATTGAAAGTGGATTCAGAATGAACATGCATTTATTACTAATTAGTAATATACTCTGTTAATTGTTTATCTATTTTGAGAAATTTGTTCGAAGAAAAATCAGACATGAAGATAATTTTTCTTTCGTAAAAATATACATGATTTAATACTTATCTTTTCTCCCTTAGTTCTGGCCAAGAGTCTTATTTTTATCAATTATTTGTGGAAAAAGACGAAAAGCTAGTTTTGCCAACTGTACAGCAGTTATTTGATCAGTCATTTCTAGCTTCTGACATTAAACTTGCCGAAGTAAGGAAAGATTAATTAACTTTTGACATTTAAAAGTCTAGTTTTGTTATATGTATAGTATTATGCCATAGTCACAATCTGTTTTTTTTTTTTTTTTTTAAATGGGACACATATTGCTGTACATTTAACATATTAGCTTCTCTAAAAAAAGAACGCAGCTGCAAATATTTTAGATGCTGAGAATATGTTTGAAGAAATATTGCAGAGTACTTTAACCTAAATCCTGCTATTTTGATTATATGACTCCTTATATTATTATTGTTATTACTATATATGCATTGTTTATATGACTTGCATATAAATTCAGTCTACAGATGTTCATAAGGGTGCATCCTTTTATAATTTGATGGTATAGTGGTAGTGCAGACTGACAGATTTTCACATCTTTGTTTGGTCTGAATCCTAAGTGAGGAATGGATGTTTGTGACTGAAGTATCTTAATGGTATTGAGCTAGTGAAAATACGTCTTAACTACTTGCGCTAAAAAGACGTACCATGCATGTTGAGATGCTTTTGTCTCAAACCGCGAGCGACGTGAACACCACGTCAATAGGCATTTATCGCAAAAATGAAAATAGCGTGGTGCACACGTCACCTAACAACGAGATTGTTTATTTCTCGAGTTACAGCTCTGGAGTGCACTTGCAGACATGGAGCGGCGTAAATGAGACACTTTACCGCTTGTTAAATTGTAGTGCACTGCACCACAGCCGTAAAAGTTTAGTCAGAGCACAAGTGGTTAACAGAAGTATTGAAAGTTTTGTGGTAAGAAAAGAGACATACAAGACTTTTGGATTATATCAGCCTGGAAACCCTTGATCAAAATTGAAATGAAATCTTCTTTGTGGGACTAACTGTTTTTTTCATCACTGTAGATGTTTTCATTATATAACTTGTAATATGTTTGTGAAGCAGTAAAAATAGAATAAAGGATTTATTATGTTGGGTCATCGGAAAAGTTCTGCAGTTTTTTTAATGATAAATACAAATGAAGCAGTACAAAAACACAAGAAATTTTTCTTTGAATCACATAAGCAACTTTTTGTCTATGGCTATTTGCCATCTCTGAGGCTGTCTTGGGCTGCTGGAATTTTTTTTTTTTTTTTTAAGTGATTAGGTTTATTCATAAAGCAGTTATTGAAGTGCTGCTTGATAGGCTCTAAAAAGTAAACTCTAGAGAATTTTGAAGTTACATGAAGAGATGACAATCCAAGAGGGCAAGGTCTAGGGAATACAGCGAGTGACACAAAATATCGCTGCCGTGTTATAAAAGTTTTTGCTGACATTCATTTGAAATGTGGGGTTGAGCATTTTGTTATGATGAAACACAACAACTCAAGCATTAGTCAGTTCTGGGACTGTGCTTCAATTTCTGCTTTTAAAGCTGCCATCCCAGAACAGCATTTTTTAAAATAAATTGTATGATTGGTGGCAGTAATTTATAATATAAATTCTTTTGTAGTTTTATGATACACAAAGCATTATTTTTGGGGGGGATGCAGCCCCCTCTTGATATTACAGAGGGAGGTTTTTTTTCAGCTTAGCCCACGAGCTTTTCTTGTAACAATAATATATAGTATCCATTTGAAGATGAACCAAATAACATTGGTTAAAAATTACCATCCATATAGACAGATTAAAAAAAATGCTGCAAAATCGATGAAAATAATTTGTTTAAAAAAAGGGAGTATTCTCAATCTCGCATGTAGCATATGGATATTCTGTACTTGACAGCATCCCTGACTGTGTGCTTAATTAATTTGTTCTATTTTTGCAAACTAATTGATAAAACATTTGACTTAATATTTGTTTTTCCTTCTTTAGGTTCCACCATGTTTGCTCATACAAATGCCAAGATTTGGTAAACAATTTAAAATGTACCCAAGGATTATCCCCAGTCAGTATCTTGATATTACTGATGTTTTAGAAGATTGTAAGTATTGTTTTTGTTAATTTAGAAGGAAAGTATCCTAGAAATAGTTATTAGAATTTGAATCTATTATTAAAACATAATAATTGGTCAATACTATAATGTTTTAAAACTATTAATGTTATGTGGCATGTTACTTATTTTGGGAACTAAATTTAAAAAAACATTTCCAGCCCCACGGCAGTGCAGCATATGTGGGCAGGTAGCTGAATATGAATGCAAAGAATGTTATGGCCAGTTTGGAGAAGGCTTAGATAGTATTGCTTTTTGTCAAAAATGCATGGATAAAGTAAGTTTCTTGTATGTCATGGCACACAAACAATTAAACTAAATTCATATTTTATGATACATTTTATTAAATTTGATCCAAAGTAAGTAAGTTAATTAATGGCATGAAACTGTGGTGATTAAAAAATTAGAAATAACCTCCTTCAAGAGTAAAATAGTAAAGCTAATTTTTTTCTTCTTTTTAAAAAAATTTTTTTTTCTGTCCTTGGTAAACATTTTAAGAAGTTCTTAGATCTTATAATTTCGTTTGTTTCTTCAAGTATTTGAAAATAGCATTGTTTAAAAAAATTTTTTTTCAGTTCTTCAAGAAAACCTATGTCAATTTAAGGCAAATGAGTCATCTAGTAAGAAATGAGGGTAGCTTTTTTCTTGGTAAAATATTACAGATTAGGAGTAAAAAATAGTGTAGTGAATGAGTTGCTGTATGAAAGTTCATAAAATAGTGCAATACTTACGTAAACTAATTGTTACTTCACTAAGCAATGATCTATTCATGTCTTCTAAACTGTCTTCTGCAGTTAAAAAAGACATGTACAAAAACCATTTCGCAAAGTTACATTCTAATTACTGATTCATCATCACAATACATCCATCACCAAGATATTATTATAGATTTTGGCATCCAGAATAGTTTAAGTTTGTGGCAGTTGTACTCATTTGTATGGTTACAGATTTAATTCTCTGCATATTCAAAAAAAAAAAAAAAAAAAAAAAAGATTTCATTCTACAAAGTGCATCAGTTCTCAGAATGCACTTTTAGAAATAGATTTTATTGCGAGCTTCTTGATCGTTGATGTTTCTTTAAATGATGAGTCCAGATAAGCAGCAAGAAATGAACAATTTATTAAGGAAAATACGCAAAATAAGTCGTACACACCATACAATAATGGCTGGAAATAACTCAAAGAGAATGCGGATATTTAACGATTCCTCCTTAACACAAAAAATAAATCATAGAGTTCCTCAAATCATTCTTGGGATAAACTGTAACATATAATTCAGCTAACTGCTAAGTGTGGCAGTTGATTTGAAACTAAACTCCTTAACTGTCCAGCCCGTATTTATATCATGCAGCAAGGGCTCTGAAAAAATTGGTTGCAGGGCTTCAAAGTGTGGTTTTGTAAATCTTCTAGAAATTCGTCAAGTTGTCAAAGAATTGCCAAATATTGCCAGCTTTGCAACAAAAATTATTGCCAAGACTTCTCAGGAATGAAATTACCTATATCTTGAGTTCTAATTGCACTATTTTTACAATTCCAAAACTGTTGCACTCAGAAGATAAACATTTAAATGGCCACATATTTTATATTAAACACAAAATAAACTGTAAAACTATTATTCTGAAAACTGTAAGTAAGTAAAACAATTCAAAATAACAACAGTACACAAAGGCAAATACAATCACAAAGGATTAAAAATATTGTTATGTGCATATGGGTTCATAATGGATTGAATGCATGCAGATCTGATGATAGCTTGATAAAATCTGTTTTGGGGAAAGAAACACTTTACAGTTCTGGAACTTTTCATAACAGTTCTCTTACTTCTCACTGTTACACAGCACAATCAGTAGTTACCACTTCACACTACTAAGAACTTCGTTAAATGCAAAACAGTACAAAAACCCTCGAATGCATTACATAGTTTTCCCCCAGCCTCCAAGAAATTTCCAGTACCTTCAGTTTCTCGGAATTGCTGAAAAGCATACACAGTTACAGTTACATAGGATCATACCAGGATGCTACCAAATGGTCTCCAAATTTTGCAACAAAAATTTTTCATCAAAACCATCACTAACTTGTTGTAGTCATTTACCTTAATGTTAATGACTTGTAACTACTCTGCAACCTTATTGTTCTGGTGAAGCTTCACATTCTTGAGGCTTTTCATGTTACATTATGAAATAGGTACTACAATTTATATGTAATTTTACTAAAATTATTTGCATATGTATACAAAATTTTTAGCGATATTTATACATATTTAATATAAATGTGTATGTGGAAACCATATTACTAATAAATATTGTTGCCTTCAGAAAAGTCTTGTGCATTGATATAGTAATTTAAATGGGATGTCCAATGGTGAAAACAGGCTACAATTCATTTTCTGAAACACTGTTGAATTTCTTATCTTACATTCTAAGATATCAGTTATATTAGAAAATTTTCATCTCATTAGTGCAGTTTTTAATTTTGGAAACAGCCAGAAATTAAACAGTTATATTTAAGCCCAGGTGAATGGGCAGGATGACCTAGATAATCAAATTTTTTGTCAGGAAGTCTTTCACTTTGATTATGCATTATGAGGTACAAACTTCAGAGATTTTTTTTAATATTTAGTTCTTGAATTAAAATAAGCTTAATTATTTCTTGATTAATCTGTAATTCTTCATTTTTCATTCATTCATTTGAACATATTGTGCATCTCTCATTTTGTTAAAATTAGCATTTGTCATTGCTGTTTTTGGCCTATCTGTTTCTGGGATCATGGATCACATCTTCTAACATATCCTTGATAAGCCATTTATTTTTTTAAGGCATCTTCTTCATGTTTCTCATTCAACACTTTTAATGGTTCAGCAACTTCTTCTCCAGTTTTCTCACAAAATTTGAAATTAATGGTGTACTCGGATAAGTTGTAATGAACACCTATCTGTAATTTATATATATGTAATTAAAATAAGAGAAAAAGAATGTAGTAAATGTTGATGGCATAGCACATAGTTAACTTAGAACATAGATCCATATTGAAGAAGAAGAATTCTAATTGTGTAGAATGCTAAAATGTTGAATCCATAATGACTGGGTAACTTGGCAGCTGGGTAAGATTAAATTTTTACATTTTTGATACTGTTACAGTAAGAAAAGAGTGAGGGAAATAGTGTCTTAATAGAAAGAGAGGCAGAAGCTAAGTGTGCACTTATCCAGTATGGAAGCTCACCAAGAGAAGGTTTTGGTTTAGGTTAGAAAGGTTTCAGTTCTCCAGATGTTGAGTTCAGGTTCCAAATTAGCTAAGTCATCAGCATTACGCAAGCCATATGACGTAGATTAATGTAGAAATGGCAAAGCCCAGAAAATATGACTTTTAGAATACAAAGAGGAAATACCCGAATTAAAAATGAGGAATTAAGAGGCTATTACTAAATTAAATTATAAAGGCTGATTTATATATTTTTCATCTTGCATATATATTCATTAAGGGTGTGTTCAAATACAAATACTCACATGGTTTTGATACAGTTACATCATGGATGATGCTGTGTGGTCATGTAACAAGTTAAACTGTTATATATTGCACAAGAGAATATCTGTGAAGAATCGCATTTATGCTTATTGTGAGTGAAAAATAAATTCTGTAAAGTGATTGCAGTCAACAGTACTTCAAAGATGGAGAAGACTAAGAAGTCAGTTAAACTAAAACTCTGTAAATTAGATTTTCGGGATAGCAATTCTTATATACTAAATATACCAAGCCAGAAGCTTATTCTTTACTGTAATGCAAGCATACATGATCCATTATTATAATTTTAAAACTTTTTTTTTTTTTTATTCAGCACAACTATATATTTATTATTTGATCACCACCCTGATTGGGACAGCGGTTAGTTATTCTGGTTTCATATCATTGAACATGTGTTTGAATCCTGGAGATTTATATAATGTTGGTACAGCAAGGGGCACTCAAATACTGGCAAGCCAAAAGTCATCTCAAGAGGTTTTGTGCTAACAGAGAAATGGGTGGGAGATCCTTGAATCCATCTCTTGGGGTATTCTTCATCAGAATTGGGATGGAGCTTTCTCATTGCGTGTGTCAGTCACCTCCTGTGGTGCACTCTAGGCAATGTTTTTGATGATATGATGGTTAAATGAATGATGAATATTAGCTATTCCTGATTAATACATTAAATTAAACTGCAAGTAACCATCAATAATTATTTGATAAACAACAATTAATTAGTACTTATGATAACTATTAGACCAAGGACAGTTACTAAGACCTTCAAGTTTCCTTTGTATGGAGTAATACTTTGAGAAGGATAAAATATGATGATCCCTTAATTCTCAAAGTGCATCAGCTGGTCTAAATTTTCAGTTAAAATCTTTTTTTCTTTCAAGAGTTGAATTTTTAATTATTGGTTTTTCCAGAATTTTAAAAGAGTACCATTTTTCATCTTAAAAATTTTTAGAGAAGCTAAATGTAGATTATAAAATCTGTTATATAAAATAGAGGAAAATTGTTCATCAAAAATTAGTTTATACAGTAGTAGACACATTGTATCATGCAATTGCTATTCATCTGGATCCATTTACTAAATAATAAGTTGTATATGAAATAGGATTTAAAAAAACCAGTTTATAAAATTAGTGATGGAAAGAAGTTTATTATTTTTAAAAATAATTAAGATAGACAGCCCTTGATTAATAAACACTTTAGTACATAAATTTTTATTTTCATGAATTAAAAAAAGGAGCAAATTTTTTTTTTTAACTGAATTTTTTAACTTTCCCTCCTGTATGCCGCAAATGTTTGTGTAAATTGTCTGTTTGATTTTAGATGAATGAAGTTTTATTTGACTCTTAGTTATTGCAATCATTTAATTTTCCTAAATTTTTAATAGTATATTATATGTTTATTTTTTCATCCAATATGCATATTATATCAAAAAATACCTTTAAATACACATAGAAATATACATTATTGCTATCATCTATGTGTATTATTTAAACACACATAGAGATATACATTATTGCTATCATCTATGTGTATTATTTAAACACACATAGAGATATACATTATTGCTAATAATAAAAAGTACTAATACATTTTTAACATTTGTGATAGAAATTGAATGCACATTGTGTATTAAAATCAAATGCTGAATTACATTTATATGCTATGTTAAACATTCAATGTATAGATTCAGTAGACCTAGTTACCTTTTAGTATAAAATTACTGTAAATGTTTTCCCATTTTAAATGATTTTTTGTAAGTAATTAAATTCATAAAGTATATAAAACTACTGTTTCAGTAATTAATAATATGTGTATAAGCAAATAAAAATAATTATTTTATTTTCTGCTAAAATTTAATAAAAAATTACAATTACCCCCTCCCAAATTGCTTATATCTATAGATATGTCCTAAAGAAAAAATTGTATACTCATTATACAAAATTATTTTCTAGAGTCATAGCCACAAGAAACGAACTCGACATCGCAGTGTTAAGTTAAGCATACCACCAGAATTTCGAATGCTGAAAGACCACACACCTGTGCCCAGAATATATATGGAGCTTTTTGCAGTAGTTTGTATTGAGACAAGCCATTATGTATGTTTTGTAAAGTGTGGCAGTGGCCCCGATGCTCCTTGGTGTTTCTTTGATAGTATGGCTGATAGGAAAGGTAAGATATAATGATCTTTGGTAACAGTTTTAGGTAAAGTTTATAAAAATGTGCTTTTTGTATCTCAGTGAATAAAAAAATGTTGAATTCACAAATGGAAGAGGTATATTGATTTCGATTTATGCTTTAAATTAATATGTTAAAGGTATACAAATGTATATTGTATGTATGAGCAGATTGCAGAATAAAATGGATTGCAAAGTGTATATTGGGGGGGGGAAGCTAAAAGAAGAGATATTAATTAAAAGCTCTCAAAATGCTAATTTTCACCTTTATTATTCCGAGTGGCAACAGTCTCGCATGCTGGAGATAAAAATCTGCTTTATTTTTAGAAATGTTGCCACTGCTCTCTTTCAAATCGTAGAGTTTGCTAGTAAAAAATTTCTAAGTTTTGCAATGAAATAAAAATAGCATTGCCAAACATTAAATACATTATTCCCAATTCCAAAAATTCGTGGGAAGCCATTTCGACTGTTCACATCTTCATACGACTTTAATCAGCCGAGATATTTACCGTAATTTCTGGAAGAAAGGCCGCATCAGCGTAAACGCCGCACTCAAGAAAAATGGCGGGAAAAAAATTAAAATTACACAGAAATGACGCAATAGATTAAATTGCGCGTGACATCGTCGTGGGCCGTATAGATGCAAAAACTCAACCTAAGTCCTGATATATGACATACCAGTTAAGAAAAATGCATGAAATGAAACCATAACTCAAAAATAAATTAAAGGTAAGAAACGTATAGCTTCTGTGCCGTTTAGAGACATTTTCAAAAATTTTCCGTTCCCTTCTTACTTAAAAACTATTCAACAAGTACTTGTACTCAAATTGATGGGATCTGTATTTGGCAGAATGCCAAGAAAAATCCATTCATGCTGAAGGGGAAATACGTCAGAGTTCGTTATTGCGAGGCAGGTGGAGTCGTGTCCACCTTTGAAAAAAATTGCAGAAAAGCATGGAGGTAGGAAAGGGAGGAGGGGCCATTCCGCGCTAGAAGTGAAGCACTGCTTTGAAGCTTGGGTCACCAGACGGGGTGTTCTTTGTTTACATTCAGGGTGTTCTTTGTTTACATTCAGAAGCTCGCTTGACAAGATTCTGATAGTATTTTGACACACGACAGTTCCATAGAAATCGAAAAGGGACACTCTCGCATGAAAGAAACATTCATAGTGTAATGGATAATAGCAATTTGTATAGTTTACTGACATTTATGCAAAAATCCCATCTTGGTTATTTTTCGATAACTAACAAAGAAATAATGCATAATTTTAATATTAATAATACCATAAACTTTGATCTTAATTTTTGTACCTTAACCGAATAAAATCAAATTACCTTAATTTTTTTTCCTAATGTAATTAACGAAAACTTGTGAAAATATTTCATTCAAATTAAACCATTCTGAGAAAACTGTCCTGTGAAAAGTATAGCATTTAATTCCGTTCAGAATGAAATGTTGTTTAAAAATATGTTGTTTTCACATACTTAGGACTCTGAAGTGTTGTAGAAAAAGAAAATATATACATTTATATGTATATTTGGACGTAATTACAAAATATTTACACCCGAACGCGTCAAATCCCATAGAACTCAATGGTAAATGACCCAATGTTTTGGTCACCACGTAGGGATCGCCGGTGCTTCAGAGCAGGGTACGGAGAAACTTGTTTAGGGCGACTCCATCTTACTTCCTACCTCCATGCAGAAAAGGCAGGGGTGGGGAGAGGATGGGTCCTGGAAGATTCATCGAATGACAGAGGAGAGAGACTATTCAAACTGATGAGAATGTTGATTTGAAAGGTGGAAGAATGTAATTGTTCTGAGATCTCGTTTAGAGTGAATAAGGCATGTAGGTCCGTTCAAGGGAAAGAATGTAAACAAAATAACGTTCGCAAAAAGCAACTGAGTGGTCTTTTGTGTGGGAACAGCACCAGTCTATGTACAATGACAAGGCCATCCAAACTATGTACAATGACCATCATAGGAAATATTTTATTTTTAGTGCACCTAAACGCTCGCTGAAAATGTAAGTTTTAAACACGTAAACGCCGCAGCGTTTCTTCCGGAAATTACGGTATTAAAAACTCTCAAAATGCTAATTTTTGCACTCATGTTTCCGAGTGGCAACAGTTTCGCACATTGAAGATAAAAATGCTTTATTTCAAAAAGTGTTACAACTGCTGCCTTTCAAATCATCTAAAGTCTGTTAACCAAAAATTTGTAAGTTTTACAAAATCTATATATATATAAAGAAGAATGTGCGTTTGTTTGTTTCCATTATTGATTTCTGATCAATTTTTTTGCCACATTAATCGACTAAAATTGAATATAGGCGAAATATTGGAAGGAACTTGTGCTTTTATGGCCATTTAATTAGAAAAACGAAAATTATTAAAAACTGCATGCCATTGTTGATGATATAATGAGAGAATTAGTTTATTTTTGTATGGAAATTTTTTTTAGTAAGTTCCATATCGCATCAGACTAAAAAATGTATGACTATGAATCATACTTTTTGCATCATTATTAGGAAAGGATTACAGCGGTATCGTTCTCACTATTGCTAGATGCATTACTCTCAATCTAACTTAACTGGCATCGGGTACTCCCATTAGTATTGTTATGAAATGTCAATGTGCAGTGAGACAGCTTCCCCCCGCAAAGCAGTTTTAGGATTGCCATAAAATGGCAAGGTAAGATAGGGTTACCACATTTGGCAAGAAATCACCCATTTGGTGACAAAATTGGCGATATGCCACGGACTGATGGAGAACCTTCTGGAACGAATTCTTACCAGTTTAGCCCAGAATGTTCTCGAACACAAGCCGAAAGCTATATAAACCCTGCTGGTCTGCAGTCAGTAGTAGTATTGAGTGTGTGTGCCTCGTCTAGAGTGCGAGTTAGTTAGTATCGAGTTGGTGTCTCGTCTAGCGAGTCAATCCCTGTGGAGTCGATCGAGTTGATAGCCAGGCAGCGAGTGCACCGAAGGAGTCTGTTAATGTATTGCGGTTAGTGCATTGTCAAGAGAGCGTGTTGAGCTCCGGGAATGACTGAACCGTAGAGTCGGGAGCTGTGCTCGTGTGTCGTCGGGTGCGTCACGAGTAGTAGCGTGGAGAGTCTTGAGAGTACATGGAGTTCCGAGAACGACCAAGCAAGTCGGGAGCTGTACTCCGGAAAGTAGAGTCGGGTGCTTTGCAGGAACCTGTCTCCACCGTGATAGCCTGATAACCTGAAGGCTGTGTCGCTGATTGTTCCAGCGTGTTTATAATAGATCTTCGACGACTGTAAAAAGTGTTATTGGAGCTGTCCTGACAATACTGGTAAATAAAGTGTGTTTCGATACTTCATCAAGTGTCATTGTTATTCACTCCAAATCTATGAACCCCGTACGAACATGAAGGAATAAAATAACGTAACAACTGGTGTCAGAAATAAGAAAAACGCAACAGTATATACATATATATACGTATATTAAAAACTATTTTTGTCTGTTAAAATTATAGAAAATCAACATGGTTGATGCCAATGAGCAAAATGGGAAAACAAACTTTTTATAAAGACAAATGGAAATAAAAATACACAGAGAAAAAGCTATATTATTACTCTTTGAGTTTTACTCAGTCAAGAGGAGGTCAGCCATTGAGTGGCAACACCTCTTTTTCTCTTTCTGTACACTTAAAATTATAACCAAAGTACCAAATAAATAAATAAATAAATAAAAAATCTAAAAGCTTTCAGATTTTGTATTACAAAGGGACCTTTTTTTTTAATGTTTTGCTTGTTACCTCTATTTATTAAATATTATGTTCTTCACACTTAAACCATGAAATTCAATCCAAAAGCAATATCGCAAAATATTTAAAAGAGCATAACGTTAGAATTTCCAATACACAGTCTTGCGCGCTGGAGATAAAATGTCCCCCCCCCTCGTACAGTGTTGCCATTGCTTGCTTTGAAATCGTTGAGTTTCTTAATCAAAAATTCATTAAAGTTTTACAGAATATGAAATAGGTAATAAAACAAATTCCAAATTTGGGCTTCCAGATGCCCATATTTTAGTGAAGGACTACATTATTTAAAATTTCATGTCTCTAGGTACTGTTGTTTTTTTTTCCAAGAAACATACATAAATTTATGCAGATTCTTCATTTTTCGAATATAATACAGAGCTCTAATATTTGGTGGCAACAATTTGAGAAGTGAAACACCACTTATGGTGAACCAACGCAAAACGAAATTAATAATTTTTCTAGGCAAATTGCTGCCTTGGACTAAAAATAATTCATATTTAGGTTCCCAGAGCCATTAAAAAAAGGTGTACTCACATCCAGTTAATACCTTTAAAACGTATTTTCTATGCAGTACTAACATATTGCTTATTAAGTCTGTTACTGTAGCATTAATGATGTGTCTGTGGCAGTTATGATAATATGATGTAATAACTTCTTCAGAGCATAATCAGAGTGTCTCTGTCTCCATTGCAAGTAAAAATGTAAGAGGAGGAGAACGACTGCATTTGTCACACAGCAAAATAAAAGTGTAGAGTGCATCTTAACACATAAGCGTAACATGATTACTGAAAATCAGCATCATTACAGAGTTTTTTTCGTGATTACAATACTTCCTTTACTTCATACAAGGAAGTAAAAATGTGGCACTATCTTATTAATTACCCAACCAAAGTCACCAGTAGTTGCCAACTAGTTTTTCACCAACCTAACACATAAAAAACAGTAGCCATTTAAAAAAAAAATAGCAGCACTCTAAAATTTACATAAATTAGCAATGAATTAATGAAATTAAAAATGCAAGAAACATCCATAATGGAACAATGAAAATTGCATAAAACAAACATCTATAACTAAGTACTCAAAATGGAATAAATTAACTAAATTAAAAACATTCATAATAAAACTTCTTAACTTTCTTTATTCATGGACACAGCGATTTGTTTTGACTTTAAAAAACACCACAGACTTGCAGTATTGTCAGCATTGTAAAGCAAATTGGTATTGTTCCCCATGTACACTTCAACCTGTTTTAACTTAACAAACGTCACAGAATTGCACAAATTAGCTTCAGTGTGCATTCCTACACTCTTTAATACTAGGCAAAATGCCATATTTCAGTAAACCTGCTGGCATAATGCACACATCATTAATAGGTTGTCTACTTTGGCAACACAGTGCTTTGCAGAATGATTCTTGTCAGGGTTGGGTGGATAATGTGACAGCACTGAGAGAGCTTCTCTAAAAATCAAGAGAGAAACCATTTTTGTTCACCACCGAGCTTCAAGATGAAATTGGTCTTAATGCAAATGAGAGAACAATTCGATACACCCTGGGGAATGAAGACATAAATTGTGAAAGTCTAAGGAATGTTCCATTTTTAAATAAAATTTATACAAAAAAGGAATGCATTTTGTCAAACTGTCTCCCATTCAAAATTACCCTAAAAATCGGGGGGGGGGGCAAGAGTGGAGAAATGTACTCTGTCACAATGAAGCAAGACTAAATTTGTTTAGAAGGATGGGAAAAAGTTGTTTATTGACATCAAGGCCATGTATATTCAAAATACACAAGGAAAAGCCATTAAAGGTGGAGGTGGCAGTCTTATGTTGTGAAGTTGTTTTTCATAGTGTCGCATGGGCCTAACTTTTTATGTAGGTACTATCATGACCAAAGAGAATATGGTTTATGATGGGCAGAAAAGAATATGCCACTGAAATGGTGCTATCTACAAGATAATGATCCAAAGCATTCAGCAAAACTAACGAAGAGCTAATTTGAATGTAACAATTTTGATGTTCTGCCACAGCCATCCAAGTTGAGGACCTAAATCCAATTGAGAACATAAGATATGAACTAAAAGATAAAATAAAATGTCATAATTATCAAATTTGAAGGAAGTTTGATTAATTGCACAAGATGCATGGCATTTCATTCCTGTTGAAAAATGTCAAAAAAGAGTCAACTCTGTGCCACACAGAATTAATTCACCCCTTAAAAACAAAGATTTTGCAAGCAACTAATAAAGTTTAAGTAAAAACTTTTCTAACTTAAACTTTAAGTTAAAATTTTTGTAATAAACAAAGCTCTTAGTGCTCAATAATAAGGTATTTCTACTTTTTTGGGATAGTTCAGAGAAAAACATGGACAAACTATTAATCAGTGATGATACCTGCAGAATCCATAAATTATATCACTAGGATCCAAAAATAGACATTAACCATTGATTAAAATGCTTTGAAAAAGAAATAAAAGGCTTTTTTTCCCCTCTTGTATTTTTATCTCATTATTTTCATTTCCACATTTGTTATTTTAACCTTCAAATTACTCAGATTAGCTTGTTTTCCTGGAACAATGTTTGTAACCATAAATAAAAATATAAGAGCTTTCTCAGATGGACCATCTGCTGGGAGGTGGAATGGATTGTTTGATCAAGTTCATATTTTATTTATGTGGAAATGCGATTCCAGTGTATGAATCTCAAGTATTTTATCTCATTTTTTACCGTGTGTGCCAGTTAATTTTTAATAATAATTTTAAAATTTATTACATATTATGGTATATTTTCATTTTTATGAAAATACAAAAGTATCTAAAATATACAAAATAATATATGAATTTGTGCAGTAAAGTAAATGATAAGATATGTTCATATACATTATAATTACTCCAGAGAAAAAGAATTTTTCTCTTACAAGTGCATTTTTTTTAATACACAGATTACTTAATGTATTTTAAATAAAGTAATGTATTTATTATTGAAATAATTAAATGGAATTTTTTAATAATTTAAAGCATATAATTCTTTTTTAGGAGAACAGAATGGTTACAATATTCCAGAAGTAGTGCCTTTCGTAGATTTACGGTGGTGGTTATCAGAAGAAGGAATGAATTTTCTATTATCTGCTAAAGATGACAAAGTTTTGCCTGAAATTACACGGAGGTTGCTATGTGATGCATATATGTGTATGTATCAAAGCTCTGATGTAATGATGTATCGTTAAAAATGAAATACCCCATCCCGTTCCCAATGTAATAAGATATATCATTAGTTATATAATTAACTAGGGCTGGACCCTGGTTTTCAACATCCTCTTCTATATTTTTTTGAGAAACTTCAGGAACAGAAAGATGTATGGGTTTATTTTGCATTTAAGGTCTAAATATCAAATATTATAAACAAAACATATTAGATATTAGAGCCGTCCCTTTATGGAGAAGTGTCAGTGCATGTGGAACAGTGAGTGAATTTTGTATATAGTATTGATTATTTTGGTATTGTGACACAAGTGTCCAAAATAGAACTTTATCCAGAATAATAAAACTATTATTAAAATAACTATAATTCAAAAATGTAATTTAAAACTTATTTATTATATACTAAAAATAGATTCTTAAGTGTTTTAAATTTAAAGTGGGATGTGAATATTTATCAATATTTTCAAAGTATTAGCTAATTTAAAATTATTCAGTATTACTTTAGGCACTTAAAAACTTAATACATTTATCTGTACGAAAAGAAGGTTCCTGACGAAGAACATAGTAGCTTCTCTTCTAGCAAATAAGAATTAGCTGGAAGAGTAAATCTGATCTGTGATGAAAACCCTCCGAAAAATCTAATATTAAGTATAGTTAGTAAATGCATCCTTTCTATGAAATATAAATAAAGATTTAGCCAGTGCAGGTAATAGGTAGATTAGATATATGACCAGTTAGCTATTTACCTTTTTACTTTTGTAATTATTTGTTATGTACTTAATGTATAATTTCCTGAAATTCTGTGAATAATGAAACTTTATCTATCAATTTTACTGAAATTAGTGTAATATAAAATTTAAACATTACTTAATTTAATTAATAAATTTAAATATTTCTGATCAAAGCATACTTTTTTTACATTGTACATAAAATTAGGTTATTTACTTTTAAATGAAAAGAGTTTCACTGTGTTAATTTTTAAACCTTAATCAAGGTAATTCAAATTTAGTAGTTTAATATTAAGCTGCTATTTTCCTCTACATAATATTTTTATTATTAAATTCAAATATTAGAAGTGTGTTCCCTCTCATTTTAAAGCAGAAATTTCTAGCCTGACCTGCCTGATTTATATGCATGAAAATCCATAAACATGAGGCAATTCAGGTTGAGATTAATGAATAAAAAATTATCATAATAACAGAAAAAGAATATTTTAGAGTTTAATATGCTTTCAGATTGATAGATTGAGGTTCGACAGTAATTAAAAATAATGAAATACAATGAGTATGAAATTTTGTGATGCTGCTAATTATGATGCATAGAATGCATGATATGTAGCACAGATTATATAAGCTTTACATGTGAAAAAGTTATTTTTAAAAGAATTGTTTGATATTTAAGATTGTAAAGTTTATTGTATAGTTATGTTTTGTTGCATTTCTGGAAACTATACTGTTATTAGCTGTAAATGCATATCTTGTGTTAATGATATTGCTCAGTATGAATCAGTTTAACAACTGTTAAAATATGTATAAAATATCTGTAATACCTTATGAATGACTCTACATGAGGATAAATAATTTATTATGTATTAAATGGAATCTAAATAATACTCTAACTCAAAAATCTTAGAAAAATTAAAATCATTTAAATTATGATTTATTTGCATTAAAACTAAGTTATAAAGCAAAAGTTATTACTCACATTAAAAAATTAAATGTTTAGTATATAAAAAGTTCAATGATATATTTATAAAAAACTTTATGTGGTCTACTTTATTAAAAAATTATTTTAAGCATTTATAGTTCTAATATATATATATATATATATATATTATTGCTGCATTAAAATTCCTGTTATGTATGTTTTCAAATTTTATGCAAATGTTGAAATAAAACAAACTAGACTAATTGCATACAATGAGAATTTTATACTCTAGAAATAAAACAAGAGACTGAGTGGTATAATGATGATTAAAAATGCTTATAGCATACAATTTACAAAATGATTCGTTCATACAAGAAATTAATGACACATAAAGAAATACATAAGTATATTATTCTAAGTGTTCTACTTTTGTAATAAAGAAAAATTTTCCCATTCAATATATTAATCATGAGTGCTGTATATATTTTATCTGAAATAAGAACATAACAAAAAATTGCATTAATATGTTAGGAACTATTAACAAATATATTTTACATAGGCAAATTTTATTTCAGATTTATTCTTGAAATATTATATTTTATAAAATAATATATATAGTGTGATATCTCAAGTTTTTTAAAATCATATCTTAAAAAAGAGTATTTCTTAATGCACTTTTACTGAGATGTGCATTAAGAAATACTATTTTTTTAACTAAAGAATTAATTTTTTCTAAGAAGCAAACATAGGATAAGACTAAACTTTGTAACATAAAATGACACATTAAAATCTAAATTTTCTGAGATAATAATATTTTTTAGTATTTTTTGGGGGGAGGGGGATACAAGTAGTAAGTGATCTACTAGAGAAAAAGGGCACTGCAGATGAGCCCAGAAATTTTAGTTTTATGGCTGGTTGAAGAAATGTGGAATTTTTTATTATTTATGAATCAAACCAGAATATTTTTTATTAGAAATTTTCAATTTGAGCCATAAAATTCACTATATTGTAAATTATTTCATAATGTAATCTCACAAAGTTAAAACTGTTATTAAAAGTTGAAAAAAATTATGTTCATACGACAATATGATTTGGACATAAAATGATGGAAGATGACAGATAACTTGAAGTTTTTTAAGGATATAAGACACAAAAATGAAGGTGCTATGATCATAAAGAAATTACTTGAAGTGTTCAGTGCTTTAAATATGAAAAATTCCAAAATAAAATCTACTATATTTACTATCCTTCAAAACATATGTGTTACTACTATACATGAAATATGATAAACGTGATGCAAATTGTGCGTGTTTTTAAATTTTAAGTTAAATGGGCCTTTGTCAAACATATTAGGGAAGAAAGGCAATTTAATTTTCACACTGCAGATTTGAAGCATTTTAATGATAAAATTAAAGGGACGGAATATTTGTCATGATTTGCCAGAATAAAAGTTTTATGGAAACATTTAACATTATAAAAGTGTTACTTAGTTTAATTTAATGGTCTGGCACTTATCATTGTTACTTAAACAATAGAAATATTTTAATCATATTAAAACCATAAATATGAACCTATGTTAACCACAGTGCATGACATTTGCAAAATGAGAATATTAAATGAAATATGTAAACAGATACAACTGATAAAATGAAATATATAATATGCCATAATACTACAATGTAATAAAAAGACTGAAAATCATTTTGTGGATTAAAAAATTTCTGTACAATATATAAGTTAATCTTAAAAGTAACATGTAATTATATATTAATTCTATTTAACTACATTTGTACCTTGTATTGACTCACACATGGTATCTTTAAAGTTTTAAAAGAAAAACTATAAATAAAAGTACTGTAAAGTCTAAAAGCTTTCATAAATTCATAAATCAAACAGAAAAACTGCTATATACTTTGTAAAAATTATAGCATTCTTATGCTTATCAATGAAATTAGTTCTGCAAAACACACAAAGAGTTCATATATTTAGAGAGCGTTCGAAAAAGGTGGCTACACTCTTTACTTCCTTATGAACTGTTATGAGACTTAAATTTCAATATGTAAAAATTTTGGCAAGTTAAAAAAAAAAAAAAAATAGATAATGACAACAGATTTAACACTATGAGAGAAAGAGAGAAATTCCATGAATAATAAAATATAATTTTGATATGGTTTGCATACAAGTAAAAATACCGAATAGTAAAATATTATGCCTTACCCCTCTGAGTACTAAGACCAGTTTTATCCAATCATGAGATTTACTGTAACTTGGTATATATCAGCTTATAGTTTAAGATATTTTGCTTTATTACTTTCTTTAATAATATAAATGTCATCTTAATGAATGCAAGTTTATGAAAATCGGGACTAAAATAAGTAAATATAAAAATTTAGCTAATAAAGGCTGTTTAAATGCAGGTCTTCATGACAGATCTCAAAACCCACACTGCTCAGAGGGATAATCAGTTAAATACAAAAAGTTCCATAATTATGTATACAAAATTCATGAAAATATTAGAGATCAATTTATTAAGAAATATATTAAATTATTATGAACTCTTCAACCATTGACAGATGTACATTTCCCCCCCGAAAAGCTGCAGATTGCATATTTTCTAGCAATCAACTATTATTATCCAGTCTCATCATCATTCAGAAATATGCTAATGCTACAGTTAAAACCAATTTTCTAGGCACTTGGCAAATTCAACTGCAGTCACACACAGTTCACAGTGGCACCATGCATCAAAAAATGGAAAATTTCACTAAACCAGAATTGCTACTTTTGGCAATTATTAGTTTTATATTGGGTAAAACAGCAGTAGTAGCTTGAATTAGTAGCCTGTTTTGAAAAATATCAATTACAAATATCTCAGTAAAGGCAAGGAACTTTCTGAATTTAACATTACAAAATTTTACTGTAATCAGATAATTATCTATCTTGTTTTGAAAATCTTTTGAATTGGATATAGATATGTCCAGAATCAGCATTTAAGCATATAAAGTCTGTAGCCTCCTTTAGCAAATTCCTTGTGTGTGTATATATATATATATGTTTACATAAATTTATTACACTAAAATTTTTACCGGGCCAAGAGAAGGTCATAAGAAATAAAACTGCAGTGTTAGATGAATCACATGAAATAACCAAATTAGGAAATAAAAAATACACATTCATTCCTTTTTCATCTACGAGATTCAAAGTATATAATTAAATAGATAAATGCTTTAAAAGTATGATAGAATGTTCTCAATTTATCTCATGAATTTTCAACTGAATATTTATTATTACAGAATATATTACCATATATTTCCGAATATAAGACAAGAGTGCATTTTTTTCTACAAAATTTACCCAAAATTCAAAAGCTATATATAAGCTGAAATGAAAAATACAGTCAAAAGTCGTTAATTCGGACACCCATAATCCGGAATGATCTATAATCCGGACCTCAAAGCTACAAACTTTCTGCGCATGCGTCGCGAATTTGCGTGTGCGCAAAATACGTTTACGAATGCGCGTTTAATGTATAACGGACGGGATAAGCTAAGCTAAAATTATCTAATTATCTATTTCAGTTAATGTTGCAGATTGCGTTGTTCCTTAATCTTCGAATTGGATCCGGATTATTATTTTTTGCAGACTGTTAGAGCAATTTTATAAAAGTAAGCTTAAACTTTCGATTTTGTCAAATAGAATTTCCGATATATATTTACTAATATGTAAAGGATATACAAAGCGAAAGTATCTTTCGGAGTCCATTAAACAAAAAGTGGAATTGCTGCAAAAAAATGGATAAAGGCATATATTTTGTTAACTAAACTTTAACACTTGTTTATCTAAACTTTAACGTTTGTTTATCTAAACTTTGTTTATCTTTAACGCGGGGGCGTGCAATGAATTCACTATCCTTATCTTAAGGGCAGATGTTTTTATTTTTATTTGGCTTATAATTGCTTACTCAATGTAGTATTTCATCTCGATGTACTTCATCTTTGATATGATTTAAATCAAATGCCTCGTCATTATAATTCGCTTCCGATAGCGAAGAAAGTGACAGAGGTTATTGAAAACGAAAAAATTTCGATTGACAAATTAGTCGGTATTCTCGACACAGCAATTATAGGACGCGAACAGCGGAACTTTGTAACTGAACAAGAAATTATGTCTGTTTATAGAATTAAAGAGAATGTATTATCACATAAAAAACGAATCAACTTAAACAACTTACATTGAAAGAAATGTTTAATAAAGTAAACAAATAAATATTAAGCTTTTTTTTTTTGTAAATTTTGATACCCTTTAGATCATAATTGTTCTTTATTTCGTAAATTACGGTTTTATATTTTTAATTTTATAATTTCTGCATGCCATTTTACCAGATTTAAACTGATGATCTATAATCCGGAAAAATCGATAATCCGGAATCGCCGAAGTCCCGACGAGTCCGGATTAACGACTTTTGACTGTAATTCTCTAATATTCAAACATGCTAAACAAGTAAAATAAGTGGAGTACTTTTCAATGAAATTGCCAAAGTAAAATGGCAGATGCCAATAATGACAGTTTTAACTCTGGCAATTTTCTTTAAAGCTAGCTTATTTTTCCCACTCATTCGTTGTCTTGTGTACAGTCTGTGGTATCTGTGCTAGTAGTATTTTCTGTGTCCTATTATTTTATGTCTGAAAAATAAGCACACAGAGAAATTCTTATATAGCAGATTCCAAACTACAGATGGTTGCATTTGTTGAAAATTCTAACAACAGTATGGCTGCTCATTATTTCTCCGTAAATGAAAAACAAGTTTGAAAGTCCTGAATTAGTGGAGATGTCACAAACAAAAAAGGCAGCACATGTGGTCATTTTCCATTACACGAGTGCAAATTTCACCATCATCAGTTTTTTTTTTTTTTTTTTTTGGAACAAACCTTCAGTATAAACAATTTCAAAAATAACATAACTGATTCCATTTAAAATGAATTTTTTTCATAAACTTGCAGAATTAAAAAAGTGTGACATTTGGCAAATTATGTCTTGCGCCTGGCTAAGGAAAATGTATAAATATTTCTTGCGAGATTTTGGAACTTTTATCTAAAGCTACATTACAGGAACAAATCCTGTAATGTAGCTTTAGATAAAAGTTCCAAACATTCTCGGTTTATACACAGAAATATATGGTATGTTATTTATATTTTAATATTTCTTATACAGACAAAAGATAAACTCTTACTCCAGATTTTACTTTTCTGAAATAAAATATTTAGCTACATCTTAAAAATTTGTTTTTTAAAGTATTTAAAAGAATAACTATTCATCTAGGATAATTAAGAAAGATATATGTTAAAAGTTACAAATGAATAAAATAAGCATTTTTAAAGTAAATGCTGAAGAATTATTTTGCATTATAACAGGACTTTTAATATTTCATTTGATTGCGTATTCGTTCACTTAATTTATTCATATCGGAACAATTCTATAAAAAGGAAAAATGTTTTCATAATTAGGATATTTCATTAAAATTACTGTAAACAACAATACAGTTAAGGCTACATAGAACCAAAACATATAATTCTCAAAATATATATATTTAAGTAAATTCAGTATCATGAACTTTTCTGCTAGCTTTTAAAATATTTTCTGTCATCAACTATAATTTACAACAGAAACACAATGTATTTAAATGAAAATATTTGTTACATATGAGAAAACATTCAAATAATCTCTGTCTTCCATGTATCATCTAAACGTTCTTCTTCGCATGACTTGCAACCTTAAAAGGAAAAGAGAGAATGCAATTTTTCCTTGAAGTAAAATAATAATAAATATTGAATTCTTAGTAGAGGTATAAAACTATTAGATTTAATCTAACACCAGAGTTTATAATGCAGAAGTTCATTTAACCTTATTTCATGGAATATCAAATGAAGAATAATAGCTAAAAATAATAATTTTAAAATAAGGCCCAATATTACCTAATATGGTCCATATAAAAAAACAATAGGAACAATTTCAAGTCATATGAAAAAGGTGTGTATTACAGATAATCAGAGGATAATCAAATTATTATCTTTTTAATAAAAGAGTATAAAATTAAACTACTATACTTATTTGAATTTGAAACAATCTGTATTAAATAAAAATACACCATATAAAAATTTTTTATTTTTCCCCCTATACAAAAATATACAATTTTTGGAAAATTTTCAACATTTTTACTATATTTCATTTGTAACTCCAACAGAGTTTGATTTCTGTAAATTTGCTTTCATTTCCAATATATTTATCAAATAAAATTTAATATTATTTGCACGTAAACCTAAATACTTACTCTATTCAGAGGTATCATCCATTTCCATCATCAATTCTTCATCAAACTCAGATTTGTTTGCACAGTATGGAGTTCTAAAAACATTGTACACCATATGATTTTTGAGAATGAGAAAAAAAATTTAAAACTAAAGAAACATTAAAATAAATTGTATTTTACATATTTAAAATCTATGTAATTAAAACAATTCAAGGATGGATTAAAAAAGAGGCTTATATAATAATACAGTCAAAAGTCGTTAATTCGGACACCCATAATTAATTCGGAATGATCTATAATCCGGACATCAAAACTAAAAACTTTCTGCGCATGCGCCACGTTGACACATGCGCAGAGGCGTTCACGCGTGTGCGTAAGACCTTTTACGACTGCGCATATCAGTGTGCGCAAGTGCAGAATACGTTTTCACGTGCGCATTTTATGTGTAATGGACAATATAAGCTAAAATTATCTAATTATCTATTTCAGTTAATGTTGATGATTGCGTTGTTCCTTAATTTTTGAATTGCATCCGGCTTATTATTTTTTGCAGACTGTAAGAGCAATTTTATAAAAGTAAGCTTAAACTTTCGATTATATCAAATAGAATTTCCGATAGATATTTGTTAATATGTAAAGAATCTAAAGCGAAAGTATGTTTTGAAATCCGAAATCTGTTTATCAATTTCACGCTGCTCGGCGGCGGCCCGCCGCCTAATGAATTGGAAGTTGATTTGTCAGCACTATCCTTATCTTCAGCGCAGATGTTTTTATTTTATTTGGTTTATAATTCCTTACCAAATGTAGTATTTCATCTCGATATGCTCCGTCTTTGATATGATTTAAAACAAGTTCCTCGTCATTATAATTCGCTTCCGATAGCGAAGAAAAGTGACAGAGGTTATTGAAAACAAAAAAATTTCGATTGACAAATTAGTCGGTGTTCTTGACACAGCAATTATAGGACTTGAACGGCGGAACTTTGTAACTGAACAAGAAATTATGTCTGTTTAATAGAATTAAAGAGAAAGTATTATCACATGAAACGAAGCAAAACTTAAACAACTTACATTGAAAGAAATGTTTAATAAAGTAAACAAATAAATATTAAGCTTTTTCTTTTTGCAAATTTTGATACCCTTTAGATCATAATTGTTCTTTATTTCATAAATTACGGTTTTCATTTCATATTTTAATTTTAGAATTTCTGCATGCCATCTTACGAGATTTAAACTGATGATCTATAATCCGGAAAAATCGATACTTCCGGAATCGCCGAAGTCCCGACGAGTCCGAATTAACGACTTTTGACTGTACAAATTATATAATCATAAAGAGGGGAAATTCCAAATCAAGATGAAATATATTAATATTTTAACATTTTATTAAAATATAACCAAATTGAGATGCATATTAAATAGTATGTAGTACGAAGACTTTGGAAACTGATTTTATGTAATTCTGACAATAGCTCAAAAAAACTTAATATTTTAAATTTTGGTATCTAAATTAAAAATTTTAATTTAAATTCATACCTAAATTCATTAAAAATCAAGAAAGTTTATGAAACAATAAGAGCAAGAATAATTCATGCCTACCCCATTGCATAACAAGTGAAGAAAACAATTCTTTTTAGACGTTTATTGAAGAAAAAGTAATTGAAAGACCACAAACAACCATCTTCTCCATATGGATCAGATTCCAAATCTGGATTGTAGCTGAAATATAAAAAATTCCACTTCCAGTAAAGCAATTTTAGTACATCTTGAAAAAATTCTCAAATTCTATTATATTACTATAATGTATACTATTTCCGATGAAGGTACTAATGAATTTTATGATACGATACTTTTAATTTATTTATAAATAATACATTCTTTACTGTTATAGATTTATCACTGGATATTTTATGGATACTTTTAGTGAAATATCCATGTATCAATATGCCAGTATCAGAACTTGCAATGTTTGACAGACAACTTGTATCTGATACCTTATGCTCTCGAGGCAGCCTGGTTTGGTCATAACACATTGATAATACATAAACACCTCAATCTATTACAGTTGTATGTTACAAGCCCTTTTTTAATGTATTAGTCTAAAACCATGCATACTCACACATGTAATTTCACTCTCTCTACATATATGTAACAGCTTTCATTATAAATAAATATACACTAAAGAGTGAAGAGCTTCAATTTACATAATTTGTATTGCAGACTTAAATGAAAATAAATAGCATAAAATTTCATTCTATTTCACCAAACTATCTACATTAAAACTTAATTTTCAATAATATTTGCATCATATTTTATATTAAAAAATTAACCACTACATAAGAAATACACAGATCGCTGAACAATAAAATATTTACAATGGTCATACACAAAGCAATGAAAAAGTCAACTCACATAGATTGTTAAAACTATAAATCATTAAAAGTAACTCTTGCTTATACAAGTATGTATGTATACAAAAGAAAGATAATTTATGTGTTACCCACAGAAAGGTTATAGCTTGTTTATTATTGACAAGATCAATGTGCATGTACAGATGAACCAGGAACAGGACACCAGCTTTGAAGGTAGCAACTGATTCAAAGCAGAAATGGGTATTCATTAAGGTGACGTACTGGAAGTTTTTGAAGCTAAAGATGTATTATCTCCCCCTCCTCCGCCAATTTTGTTACACAAGATAAAAGATAGAGAGAGAGATTTTTATACTTTAGAAACAAAGAAAGACCGAAGAATGGTGTCAGCCCTGTTTTGAAATGCCTAAAGTGTTCAGGAGCCAGCAAAGAGAACAGAAATTCATGGTAACTGTTTTTGGGATGACAAGGCATCATTCTCCTTGATTTTTTGGAACACTTCAATATTGTAACCAGTAAGAGGTACACCAGGGGGGGGGATCTGTATTTCTCGTTCTCGGGCCGATTGCAAAAATTCAAATTGCATTTTTCATGTCTCGAAAGCACGACTTAAAATATATACAGTCAAAAGTCGTTAATCCGGACTCGTCGGGACTTCGGCGATTCCGGATTATCGATTTTTCCGGATTATAGATCATCAGTTTAAATCTGGTAAAATGGCATGCAGAAATTATAAAATTAAAAATATAAAACCGTAATTTACGAAATAAAGAACAATTATGATCTAAAGGGTATCAAAATTTACAAAAAAAAAAAGCTTAATATTTATTTGTTTACTTTATTAAACATTTCTTTCAATGTAAGTTGTTTAAGTTGATTCGTTTTTATGTGATAATACATTCTCTTTAATTCTATAAACAGACATAATTTCTTGTTCAGTTACAAAGTTCCGCTGTTCACGTCCTATAATTGCTGTGTCGAGAATACCGACTAATTTGTCAATCGAAATTTTTTCGTTTTCAATAACCTCTGTCACTTTCTTCGCTATCGGAAGCGAATTATAATGACGAGGCATTTGATTTAAATCATATCAAAGATGAAGTACATCGAGATGAAATACTACATTGAGTAAGCAATTATAAGCCAAATAAAATAAAAACATCTGCCCTTAAGATAAGGATAGTGAATTCATTGCACGCCCCCGCGTTAAAGATAAACAAAGTTTAGATAAACAAACGTTAAAGTTTAGATAAACAAGTGTTAAAGTTTAGTCAACAAAATATATGCCTTTATCCATTTTTTTGCAGCAATTCCACTTTTTGTTTAATGGACTCCGAAAGATACTTTCGCTTTGTATATCCTTTACATATTAGTAAATATATATCGGAAATTCTATTTGACAAAATCGAAAGTTTAAGCTTACTTTTATAAAATTGCTCTAACAGTCTGTAAAAAATAATAATCCGGATCCAATTCGAAGATTAAGGAACAACGCAATCTGCAAACATTAACTGAAATAGATAATTAGATAATTTTAGCTTAGCTTATCCCGTCCGTTATACATTAAACGCGCATTCGTAAACGTATTTTGCGCACGCGCACACGCAAATTCGTAGTGGTAAAGGTCTTACGCGCATGCGTCAATACGACGCATGCGCAGAAAGTTGTAGCTTTGAGGTCCGGATTATGGGTGTCCGAATTAACGACTTTTGACTGTATTAGATTTATATATAGCTTTATTCTAACATAGGTATTTTGACACAAAATCAGATTTTCTCTGAAATAACATGCCAATTTTTTCCCATATTTTGGTTTGACAATTCAAATTATGCCTAGGTATTAATTAAATTTCGTAATTTTTCGTGAAAAATTTATGGAGAAATTAAAAAATTTATCTTGATGAATTTTTTCAGTTTGCGGCAAGAATAATTCACTTGGCAAACTTCTTAATTTATAAGAACCTATTTTCCTTTCCTTTTTCTTCATAGTCCACGAGCAGAAAATGTCATCCTTCATACTTTCAAATAATTTTAGCAAATTTTATTTAGAATGAAACTAAATTTTTCAATATGAAAAGGAGAATCAAATAAGTTTAATAAAAAAAGAGATGTTAATGTATATCAAATTCAATTAACATGGAGGAGCTAAAATTTTGAGAGCTAATTTTTTAAAAACTACTTGTGCGATTTTTACAAAAACTTGGCAGTTTGGCATAATTTGAGTTGTAGAATCGAAATATGGAAAAAAAAATTGGCATTTCATTTCAGAAAATGTCTGATTTTGTGTTAAAAATACCTGTATTAGAACAATGCTATATATAAATCTAATACATTGAATTTTGTCAATCGGCTCAGTAGAACGGGGGATATAGAACTATCCCCCCTTTTTTTTGCATTACATTGTACATTCAGACACGCTACAAGCTTTGAGAAGTCATTACAAATAAGAGATCAAACAAGAACCTGAAACATGACCCATAGTCATTATAATAATGCACACTCTCACTCATCTTTCTCAGTAATTCATACAAGGAGGAAAATGAACTAAACAGCCATCTATTGCACACACCGGACCTTGCACTTATGGCGTTCTACTTCTTCAGTTCAATAAAGGACAAAAAACTGGGACAGTGATTTGTTGCTCTAAAAAGAGGAAGTAAGTAAAATAATGCACACCTTATTTTATTTTTAAAGAACTAAGAAAGGGTCTCACACTGATGGCTACTCATTATTGAGTAATATCTTCAAATAAAGGAAGAATCACTTTAACAGCACATGGAATTTGGAAGAGCTGTGTAAGTTAATAAAAACATTAGGTCAACTTTTGCATTCACAAAGTATTTTTATAAAGCATTTTTGTGTATAATGTCAAACTTATTTCCTAAAAAAACTGATAGTCAATAACTTTTATAATAAGACACACTGGCATTCAAGCACACAGACTGTCATTAAGTTTATTTAACCACATTAAAAACTATTAAACAATCTAGGATATAATACCAAACACACTTATTAGAATGTATATCAATTATAGAAGAATATGATACGAAGAAAGGAACAGACAAAAACTGAGGAGGTAATTCATCACAATACAAGAGTGACCCTAACATTACTGAAGGATATTTTTATTTATGTATTTCATCAAATTTTTTTCTGTTGTGATAAAAAATTATTACTAGCTATTTCAATTATTCTTATTACTAGAGATGGACTATATTATTATGAAGCTACTAAAATATAATTACATAAATAAATTCCCTGCTTTAAAAAATAAAAATTGTTATAATTTTTATAACAGAAAATAGAAAAGCAATAAAAGATTTTTATCATAATATTTATTGTAACCTTCCTACAATGAGATTAAAGAATCTGGGGAATACTAGTCTTAAACTGTAAAAATTTAATAATATTATGTTTCACTTTATATAATGAAATTTGATTGTACCGTTAATTTTTACTTATCAAGTTCTGAACTTCTGCAAGAAAATAACGGTACACATTAACAATATGTGTAATTGTTTTGAAGTAATTCATATATAAATGTGCTGCAGTTATCAAATTTCTTGAATTAAAAAAAGTTAGATCAATTCCCAAAGACTACTCTTTTAATAAAACAAATGCCTCTTTTCGATCTTCAATAAGTAAAGGGGCTCCAAAATGGCAATGGGAAATAACTGCAATTTTATGTATGTCATCCAGAAAATAAAGAATGCTTACGTGTTGCTCAATTTAAACAAAAGATATAACAACAAAACTTTGCGCACAATAACACTGAATCTAATTCTACAGATGCCACTGTTACTAAGGCATTTACCATAATATGGCTTGAGTTTCTCAAAGCTGCTATTGTATTTATCTACTACCAATGATCATAACCATGTAGTTACTTCTTGAGCTCTTCAGAATTTTTCAGTGTCAAAAAAATATCTTCATTTTCAGAAAATGTAAATTATATGATACCAAGTTGGGATTATAAAGGGGATGGGTGCTACTTTGGTAGACGGTTGCACAGATTTTTAGTGATTTACGTTGGCACAATTGTTGACGTGGTTTTTACAATCGTCAGCCATCTTGAAAAATGCTGTTTTTATGTATTTTGCGCATAGTAAATTATTCAAAACTTTCAAAAAATAAATATCGTTAAAAATAATGGATAAATTTTTTGTTGAAAACATTGCTTTTTAAGATGGCAGGCAAATGTAAATAAATACATTTAATACGAGTATAAAATACTAAAGTATGGTTAAATTATTACTTTCATATAGCAAAGAAATATAATACAAATTCCGCTATAAAAATATCACACCAGCGTTTAACTGGATTAAAATATTATGTAAATTGAATATTGAATTAAAAACCATCATACCAACGTTTAAAAGAATTAAAATATTACTTAAATTCAAATACTTTAAAATAAGTAAATAAGAACGCTTCGTACACTAGAGCTAAAATGACAGCAATTTATTGCTGGTAAAAAAGGAGGAATGTTTACAGCGGTTATGTCTTCAACTGTGACCACAATACCATATACGGCCATTCTCAGAATCGGCTCTTCTAACGATCTTTATCTGTGATCCACATTTCTTGCATTTCATTGAAGGAGCAATTAGCAAGGTTTCCTCCAAAAATTTAAAATAAATTTCCTCTAACCCTTGTAGCAATTTATAAATAAATCTTTGATTAGGAAAGCCAGGTTGGCCAAAATAAGGTCTCAAAGAACAATTTTTTTATTCCGATACCAATAATTCTTGGTACTTACCAATAACAACATTAATCTTTGAAAGGAACATATCCGTTTCCTATGAAATCTAAGGAATACGATGAATAATAAAATTTTTAAACGGCGCAGTAATGCACAAATATTCAGTAACCAATCAGGGAGCTAATTACAGCTTGTTAATGCACAAATATTCCGTAACCAATCAGGGAGCTCATTACATCACGCCTAGAATTAAAATTATTTAAATAATCATACATAATAAAAACCATTTTTTTTAAATGCAAAATTAAATTGTATTTTAATATTTAACAGCCATAAATAATATTTAAAACATTAGATTAAATTTATAGACATTAAGATCAATTACTTTTAAATCAAGGTGATGTCATTGATTACATCATCCACAACATAAATTATACAAAATATTATAAACAATAAAATTTTATTTTAAATAAAAAGGTAAAATTAAACTGATTTTTAATATTTAAAAGCCACAAATAATATTAAAAACATGGAATTTATGCATAATAAAATGCATTATTTTCAAAATAAGATCACAACAAAGTATCAGTTACCATAAGTTGTATCAGTCGCCAAAATATGTGCAACCGTCTACCAAAGTAGCACCGGGCGATGAACAAAAATGCTCCAATTTAACTGCACAATAAAGCATGTCATGAAACTGTGATCCTAGCAGACAACAACCCATATCCCTTGTTTTGGATTGAGCATCAAAGTTGTTGACTGTCTCCTATCTATTTCACCTTGGATTCCCGCCAAAAATCTGGGCACATTTCCTTTTAGCCAAGGTGATCTGAGATCACTTCATGTAAGATAGCTTCTGAAATTTCCAGGGAAAAATCACACAAAAATGTCCAACTGAAGTTTTTTTTTAATCCATATTTTTCCCCAGCTCGCCTGAAATGAATGATGGCTAGCCACTTTGATTTGCATCATACATCACTGTCCTACCTTTATTGAACATGATATCCCATTTTCTTACAGGAATTTCATTCAATCAACTATCATCACAAACTTGTTTAATTTGCCTATAAACTTGATTTTCCTATAATAATAACATTTTGTGCATGAAGAAACCAAATAATATTTTGGATTTCACACTAGGTAGAATTTTTTATTGTCAAAGACATTTTGAAAAAATTGTCACAGCATGATTTGGCTCAGAATAAGATAGCAGTTTCCTCTGAGGCAGATGATTATGTGTGGGCATGTGCAGTCATTCCTTATTTTCAGGATGGCCTTCATAGTAATGCATGGCACTTAACAGAAAAACTGAAGTTCGACCACTTTTCTGTAAATGCCTTTTACCATTTAGCTGGGAAAAGTGGAATGACCTTCATATCTTGGGTGACCCTTCCATGAGAAAATATCCAGTTGTATTTTGTTCATTCATCTCAGAGGCACCACACTACCGCAGTGAGGCAACTAACAGGACTTAAACGGTATGAACAAATGCAAAACCAGGCGATCAAATTGTTTACACTAAAGTTAGTTTCATACGCCTCACATTCATCATGATTTCTTTAAAATGTTTTATGATACCGAATTAACAGCACCTGTTCAGTAATCATTGATGAGTAGTTTATGCAACATCAGAATAACTGCTATAGAATATGCAAGTTTACATTATACTGTGACATGGAAGATCTAGATTGCAGCATTTGTAACATTAATTCTTGCACAATGATGTCAAGTGGTTTTTTACTCTCCATCTCACTCTATGCTTATCTCATTTCTAAGGCCATATACTGCTATTTAGTTTGAGAATCCTAAGTCATGCTGCATACATTTTTATTATTTTTAATGCACTCTGCCAATAAGTTGCATAGTGTGTGTAATTGACACTTATTTGATGTGCATTGGTAACCAACATTTTCTGAAGCAAAGATAATTATAAGTATCTTTAAAGAGTATGAATCTATATCAAGTCAAATAGGTATTGAAATTTGCATAATTCAGACTCGATGCTCATGTATACTCATGGATGTAGCAAGTTTTATGACTAAAAAACTGGAAATTCATGGATACTGAGGTTTAATTAAATGAATACTGAAATCAATGAATGCAAAAAAATGCAATTTCATGCTTTTATCAAATATTAAATATATTAAAAAGCTCTTTTACATAAATATAAGCAATTATATTAATTAATACACATTACCTATATATTTCACATTCCGATAAGCATATTTCATGATCAATAGCAGACCACAATTGCGGTTTCAGAGCTTCATAATCCTGATTGGCTATTGCACTGAGATTGCTATCAACAGCATTCATCACCCACTATTAAAAAAAATAATATAAGATAAACTTATTCCATGATGAGGAAAAAAGTTTTATAATTATTTTTGTTTTTATTAACTAATAATGCTTCAATTTCTAATCGTTGTGCAATTATTCAACAACTCTCAAATACATTCTATAATATGTAATTAAAAATACAGCTGAATATTGTTATATTAATAAAACAAATTTCAATCCATGATTTATAATAGAAATCAGTCAAAATATCAATCTATTAAACATAATAAAATATTCATAACAATGACTTGCATAGTGTCTATTACATGACTTATAATACTAAATTATTATTTAAAATGTTATTAACTGATATATTAATATGGTTACCACATATCCATTCTTAATAAAGAAACTTATATTATAAATATTTTATTTTACTTCAATAAAATTAACAAAATAACCATATTTTTAGTTAAAAGGAAAATTTCTGTTTCTCTAATTTACAGGGTTCGCACGCATTTCTGCACATGGTAATTAAGTAGTTTTAGGGATTATTAACAAGGGGAAAAAAAAAAAAAATGAAGGACCTATCAGAAAATGGAAATTGAATGAATTAAAGATATTATTATTCTATGCTGAACTTCACTTTTGTAATACCAACCTAAGAGTAAAACAGATCTGTAAGTACGACACATTATTATTAAACATAACCTAATACTGAACATAATTACAAAAAAAATTCAAGAATAAAATAAACTTTGTAAAATTGATAAATTTTAGCATTAAATATTTTAATAAGTAGCATTAAACATTTTATGCTTATAATAGTTGGACATATTTTAAAAAAAGATTAATAACATTTTATTTACGTTTTATTAACAGTTAGCTTTATGTTGATTTTTTTCTTTTATGTCTCACTTCAGCACATACTTGCCGAGTCTACAGGTTTAGTAAATAGCAGGCAGATTTTATGTTAAATGGCATAAGTTAAAATGAAAAGTAAAACCATAATCAGCATGATTCATAACAGAAACTATAAAACTGCCTATACTGCTGCTTGCCTGGAGACAGGTCTGCTGATCAGAGTAGGCCCGAATGCGAGATGGTAGCAATGGTTGGTAAGCGTTGAAAGTTATGCTCTGTCTGACACAATTAATATCATAATTTGCACAGAGTTCTTGGCATTGTGACCCAGCTAATGTAGTTTAAGGTTCCAATAAGCCACTAAGGAACCAGAGGTAGTTAAGTTTTTTTATATTATTTTTAGTCTCACTAGCTGTAAGGAATACGTTTTATATTAATTTTTACACTTTTGCACTTTTGTGTTGTATCTTGTGACCACAGTAAGGATTAATGAAAGGTAATAACTCGCTTTAACATGCAGAGATAACTCTTAAGGGTGAGTAATTAGTTACGAATAGTTAAATTAGGTAGTTAGATGCCCTTAGTCATTATAGATTTCCATGGCCACTATTAAAATTACAACCTAAGAATATGTCACACTTTAAAATACATGTAATTTATGACATTGATTCTTAAATGGAAGTAGGATAATTATATGTTAAAAACTACAAAACATTTATGCGTTGTAGTTACAAAACAGCTACAAAAAGTTTAGTTAGTGCAGTTACGAAACATATGTTTTGTAACTGCACTAACTACATCACACAACAAAATATTTATGCACCTTTTAATTTGAAAACTTCTCAGACATTTTGGCTAATTCATGTAAATTTCTTTCTCTTTAAGCATCTTTTCTAACAATAAGAAATTTGTTTCAGTAAGCAAACCACCATTCCCACTAGTTTCTGCTTCATCTCCTGCCAATGTCTCAAAAATATTTCTTTGAAGAATGATTTTATTTCTCTTAATGTATTGTTTCCTCTTCATTTTAGAATTTTGGGATTTAATTGATGATTTCTGTTATTCCAAAAAACCTAATGCATTTAGAATGTACAGAAGAAACTAATTTTATTTTAGTAATATGAACATTGAGAATAAATATGAAACGATATATGGTCAGTGCCTGTACCAGAGCCTGTGTGGTGGAATTTAGTGAAGAACTGAGCAACAAAATCTAGGAATGGCAAAACATTTAGAATTTAGAGAGGCACTAGGCAGCAGAATTCAGGACCTACAAAGATTACATCAGATGAAAAAATGCTTAGTGCCAGCTCTGTGTATGATGGATTAAGACTTAACAGATGAATCTTTTAAATTACCATTCTTCAATTTCTTTATTAATAAAAAAATTCCTTTCTAGAGATGCTGCCCAGGTGACAACATTAGAAGCATTTCTTATATTTTCCATGGTTGTATCTAGTGAAAAGAAGAGAAAATAAATGGAAGGTAAACAAATTAAGATTTTTAATATCAGAAGTAGAAAATTCAAATAATTATGTTTTCATTGTTCTTCCAGAATTTCTCCAAAAAGTAAGAACAGTAAAACTTTATGTAAAATACATCCATTATGTACTAATACCTTGAAGTTATTTTTCCTTTTCTTACATTTTTCTGGAATCTTCTGGAATTATAGGTTTACAAATTTTACCTTTAAATTCTTGTAAGATGCAAAGGAAAACAATTTAAAAGAAAAATTATTCGAATTAATTCTGTAACAGCAAAAAGCCAAAAAAAAAAAAAAAAAAAAAAAAAAAAAAAAAACAGAGAGGATAAGTGTAAAATTAATTTTATAGAAGAAACTGATATACATTCTCAGAATTCTGAGACGCTGGAATAAACCCTTACCATGAAAAAATATAAAAGAAGACATTTTTATATAATTACAATAGCTATTTTGCTTTTGCTATAAAGCATTTTATAGCATTTATTATTATTTTTCAGATTGAAAATATTCTAATAATAAGTCAAAAGTTTTATTTTAATGTTATTCCTTAAATATAATTTTAATAATATATTATCATAACTTTAATGAAATTTATCATGCAACAAATGGAACTATGCACTAAAAAAACACTTTGATTCTAATCTGCTAATTGCATTAGGATGAGTTGAGTTGTTAAGAAGGTAATTATCATTTGGTGTTTGAATGTTATTTGTTTTTGTTATGGAATCACATTTGGAACAGAGATGTGCGATAAAGTTTTGTTTTGAAAGTGGCTAAACTGCTAGTGAAATTTATCAAAATATACAGAACGCTTATGGTGAATGACATTTATTGCATTCTAACATGTTTGTGAAGTTTTGTAGATTTCAAGATAGTAGAGATGACATAAAAGATGACAAAAGAACGGAAAGTCCTCGCACAAGACGAACTGCCCCGAACAACAAAGCTGTCCATGCTGTGTTAAATCAAGATCGTCGATTAATGATTAGAATGCTTGCAGAACATTTAACCCTCTAAGCAGCCATATATATATATATATACAACCTAGAATATTTTTTGTGATATCTGCAAGAACGTATATATACATGCACATTAAAATATGCCAAAGAAATTAAGGCAATATATCAAAAGTACACAAATCCAGGTATGTAATATCAGGAGAGGTTTTACATTAAAATCAAAAAAATAATTTGTTCTCATGGTACTTTTGAGAAATTTGTGCTTTCTTAGTGAAAACCCCTGGCTGCTCATAGGGTTAAATATTGATAAAGAAACTGTACAACAACTGGTTAGGATTTAGGAAAAAGGAAACTGTGTGCAAGTTCTGTTGTACATTCATTAAATAGAATAAAAAGATTAGTGGCAGCTTGTCAAGATCTTCTTGACATGTAAAATTATAATCCAGATTTTAAAAAGTGAAATGATGAATTGTGGTGCTTCACCTAAAACCCAGAAACAAAGACAGAAGAGTGGGTAGGATAAAACTCACCAAAAAGTCAAAGAACGTGTATTTCCAAAAACTCAGGGTGAAAACAATGTAAGCAGGCTTTTTTTTTAACTGCAGAGGATTGTTTCACTAGGAATTTGTTCTCGAAGGAAAAATAGTCAGTGCACTACTTTACGTGGGTGTATTGGATAGGCTCTTGAAATGCATCGCATATGTGCATCCAGACTTCTACGCAAACAAAAATTGGTTCTTGATGCATGATGATGTGCCATGCCCTGTTGCAGCTGTTATTTATGTGCTTTTGAAAAAAAAAAAAGTAACTGTACTACATCACCACCCCTATTCACTGGACTTATCACCGACCAGGTTACTTTTTTTATTGCAAAACTGAGGGTTAACAGAGAAAAACTAATACGGCAGCGCATTTACACTCATGTGAACTCCAGCAAATACTGTTCAATATGTTTTCATTTGTTAGCATTTACTTCAAAAAACATAAAATGTATTTGCAATAAAAAAACCTTTGTAATTAAGCATTTACATATTTTCAGAAACATTTTTTAAATAATAAATTGTTCATTAAATACATACTCTTGGGCTGTGTTCACGGCTAAATTCTTCACTTTTTGCATGGCTAAAATCATAATCTGGATGAAAGGAAGCATTTAATGTAGCAATCAAATAACTCAAAGTTTTGCGATTTATTGTATCACACAATGGCCCTTGTCCTTCTCCATCATCACTTTGGCTACGACTAAAAAATTCAAATTATCTGCTATTAAGAATCAAAGCAAACAAATACAGAGGCTGTTCGCACATTTTTTAGACGATGTATATTGTATTCACAAAACTAAATTACATAAAATTCTTGTGTTTTAAATGTTCTATTTGACACCCCTTATTCTGAATTATCTTTCAACACCACAATTTCCAGGATAATAATGCCTTTTGAAGTGGCAGAAGAGGTATTCTATCCCATTCCTCCCAAACAGCTTTCCAGAGTCCTGTTAGGGTTTTGGGACTATGTTTGGATAATGCAGTTTTTAAAAGTCCGAAAGCACAAAAATCCATAGGTGACACATCGGGAGATTTAGTAGGGATATCAGTGAAGGGTAAGGCCTTGACACCAGTTTTTTGTTCCATTTCTTTTAGGAAATTTACAGTGGATTTTGATGTGTGACTGCTAGCTTTGTCCTGATGGAGTCTCACAGATTGATGGCACTGTGGGTAAAACGATGGTATTTCATTCAGAAAAATTGGCGATAAATATGTTCCTGATAGTATTTGGAGTTAATCTTGACATTTTTTTGCACTCTCTTCGTTTTTAACTTGCCATTATAAGAAAAACCAGAAACAATCATGAATCCCGTAAAAAAACTTTCTTTCGATTCTTTGAACCATGTACTTAAATTTTTCCTCCCCTTTTATGATAATAAATGGCTCTTTTTTTGTTACAATCATTTAAATACACCCATGCTTCATCTATTGTGACAATTATTTTTCATTTTTCTTTTGATAAGTGTTTCTCATATAGAATTCTGCAGTGTGTCCTGCATTGAGCGATATGCTTTGGAAGAAGACGATGAACATTGCGTTTTTACGCTTTCTTAAGATTTAAATCAACGTTTATCATTTTGCTTACAGTGGACACCGAGCATTTTAATGATTTTGCAACTGTCCTTTGACTAGGGGGATTTTCTTTTAACATTAAACAACGCACCTTTGCAATAGTCGAAGATGTCCGTTTTTTCCTTGGAGACTTGTTTGGAATTTTTGTCCCACTTGAGGCTCCAATTTGACATTTGTTTCCTTTCTTGTTGATGATATTACCTATCAACGTTTTAGATATCACAAAACCATGACTCTCACATCGTTTTTGGATAACGGAGTATGCATATTTCTCTTTGGAAAGAGTGTAAATGTAGCCTTCGAACCACTGCTTTGTTAAATTTGCCATTTTGATTAAAAACAAAACTTTCAAGCCACCGATGATAATTTTGACTTTTAAAAACACAGTACAATTGCAATTACTTCTTTTGCAGCAAATGATTTTTTATTACCGCTTACCAAAATCGTCTAAAAAATGCGCGAACAGCCTCTGTATAAACATTATAACCTAAATTTCAATAACAGTACCAAAAACAAATTGATAGCAATATAATAATTTTTTCATATTGTAAGAAACAAAGATAAATGTAAAGGAGATAAATGTCTGCTTATCTTCATGAAGAATCTAAGAATTATTTTCTCATCTTGACAGTCTTGCTGCAATTTTAAAATTCTACGACAATTATTCAATTTTTAAATGATCTTTCATAAACTGTAATGTTAACTATAATAAAAATACATAACATAATTATGTTTTCAATATTATATTAGGAGCATCTGTATTACAAAATGTATGTTAAAATATTACTTCCTGAAGCTAGTTTATCAAAATAGGAAGCTCAAATTTATAAAGTTTTTACATTTCAGAAACAAAATTACATTATTAACCTGCAAGTATATATGCCTTATTATCAAATGTGATTATGCACATGAGGGTGATCGATCCCCCTTTTCTTTTTTGTGTGTGATTTAAATAAATTTGATCACTTTTTTCTAACTTATAAAAAAAGGAAACACCTTCTTCCCCCCATAAATACTTTACATTCACCTGGGACTATTTGTAAAGTTTATACATGTAAAACAAAAGCTTTTATTTCAGCTTTGCTGATAGTTTTAATACCTTGCTCAGGAATAAATATATCTTCGATTTTAACACTATAAAATTCCATACATTGCATTAATATTTTCAGCATTTTATTGACCAAAAGAGATCATGTATCTTTAATGTTTGCCACACTTCTTGTATTATTCAATTTTCTGGCAATGAATTTCTGATAATATTCTTCTATTCAGCCAAAATTTCTTTCTCAACTTTTAAATTTTAGCATGCTTTCCTATGGAACTCTTTACTTTCTCAAATACATCCAAATGAGCAATATTTTAACCCAGTTCTTTAAGAATCTAATATTAATTGATTTATTAAAATTTCTGCACGTTTTTAGATGGTTTATTTAATCTTTGTAAGCTCAAATGCTAAGCAATTTTTTTTTTCAATAGACTTAAACACCATATTTGTTTATTTAACTCCATAGTTTTGCCTTGAATAGTTAACTAAACATTCCTTTGGTTAAAACTGAAATGACTTACACACACACACACACACACACACACACAAAAAAAAAAAAAAAAAAAAAACTTAAATGCTCTTTTATGTTTAAAAAATTCTTTATTCTAAAGTAAATAATTAAAAAAAGAGCAGCAAAGAATACACTAAACGAGAAACATCAATGAAAAAAATCAAGTATGATTAGTGGAATGTCTGTGCTTGATGTTTCTGAAGATTTAGTTCAATATTTTTAGAGAGATAAAGACACAAGTCCCCTCTTTCAACGATTTGGAGTTGGCGTCTCTTTTTTGCAATTCGATCAGTCACAGCCCTGAATCCTCGCTCGACAAGGTACAAGGAAGGGAAGGCAATTAAAAAATTTTGATGATAGTCCCCAATCCTGGGTACAGGTGATTGATGCTACTTTGAAGTCACAATTCTGCGAGACAATCACCATTCTGGAAGCTGGCTTTCAAAGTTTCATTAACTGAAAGTTCGACTAATTCCCTCTGAATCTGAACGTCTGCTTTCTCAATATTCATAAAAGAATGATGATCTATCATCACTTCCAGGGACAAAATATTCCAAAACACTCAGAAAAGTCCTTATGCGAAAAATTGAAGGTGTTGACAGTAAATTTATATTTCATTGAACGGGATTTCGCTGCTCTTGTGGAGATCTGACAAGATTGGACACTGACTAAATTCACTGCGATCAAAATTCTGCTTTCACAAAGTGAGTTTTTTTTAGGAAAGCAGAAATAACAGATTTTATTGTGATCAGATTGAGCTCTTTGCCTTGAAGCTGCAAACTAATTCCATTGCATTTTGCAAATAAATCAGTCATGTAAGTAACATCAATCTTAAATTGTAGCAATCTGTCTTTCAGAGCTACATCCTTCTCTTCGAGACACTTAAGTTCAGAGTCGAAAAGATTCCAGAACCTACTGAGGCAGGCATCTTTCGACAGCCACTGAACCTTGGTGTGTAAAAGCAAATGATTGAATTCTTTATCATTGTCCTTTTACAGCTGCCTGAACAATTGATTGATAGCATTACTGGGAATTTTGTTCACAGCAGAGATGACACACAGTAACGAATGATGCAAATGGTTATTGTAATATTTTGCAACTAAATGCTGCCTATGAATTATGCTAAAATACCTGGAACCTCTTTCTTCAAAAGGGCAATGAACACATGATGATAATCCACCATTGCAGGAGCTCCATCGGTGGCAACAGACATAATGTTCGCAAGAGAAATATTTTTCTCTTTAAAATAATCTTTGACAATATTAAAAATAGATTCACTTTTAGCATCTGCAATCAAGCTTTTCGCAAAAAGCATCTCTTGAATAATATTTCCTTCCTTCACAAACTGGACGTATGCTAACAGTAAAGCCTCATTAGTACTTGGCAAGGCTGCACCATCAAACTGAAGCGAAAATTCGGCGAATTTTAAAAGTTTGTATAAGGAAGCTTTAACATCTTTAGCCATCTCATCAATTCATTGTCGCACTATATCATTGCTTGATGGGGCATTTTTTTATAATACTGGATGCGGCTGGATGGTGTAAAACCCTTTCTAAAACTTGCTTGACAGCTGGCAGTATGCACTCTTTGCCGATGGTATGAGTTTTCCCCAATTTATCAATTAATTTTGATATATTATAAGAGGCTATCAAATCATTGCCACATTGTTTTGATGCTGCTGCTAGTAAGCCTGAGACAGACGATGCTTTCAGGAACTTGCGCCTGATGTTTGTGAAAAACAACAAATCTTTATTTTGTTTGACAGGATGAACTTTTTGCAGATGCTCTTGCAAATACGATGGTTTCATTACCTCCTTAGATAACACTTTATTACAAAGTAAACACATGGGCAATTGCAAGTGCGACAGCGAAGGAACAAATCCAGACTTCAAGTATGTGGAACTGTATTGACGACATTTCTTTTTATTAAACGACATTTTTGGCTGCAGCAAAATATGATGAGGGAAAGATAACTATTTCTCAAAATTAATAATTCATGATCACGATAAAGAACTAACAAGCGCAGTTACATAGGCGACTGGCCAAATAAACAATGAAAGTAATTCTAAACTGAGGAGGAAAAAAAAACAGAAATGAAGTGAATGAAAAGGAACACAAGAAACACGGGTCAAATCCAACATTCATAACCAAAAGGATGCTCAATGCCTGCCCTGTGATTAATGGCGTGCGGAATGACGCATGAGCTGTGCTGGTTGGGATTGCAGAAAAACAGTAGTGTCAAGTTCTTCAAGCTCATCTTACAGAGAATAGGAATTCGCTAGTAGTAGGGAATTCACATTCTATAAACCGCCCCTCAGCATTCTCTTGCTGCCTCCACTGAGAACGAATACTCTAGCATCTTTCTCTACTATCCAACAGTTTATTAGAATAAAATACCAACTGAAAACATGTAACAGGTGCACAATATTTAAAAAAAAAAAAAAAAAAAGGAAAAGAAGAAGCAAATTTCCACAAATTAATGAAAAAAAATTTTCTTCAATACATAGCACATACAATTTTAAAATGAATTAGAATAAGTTACGTCCCTTTTTTGGGGTAAAAAAAAAAAAAAAAAAACATGCTTAAGAAATTCTTTTCTCTGGGTTGTGAGGCACCTCTATTGAATGTACTTGTGGATTTAGTTAGTCTCATTACAATGATTACACATCACTTTAAACCTGTATTATTCACACTTTATTCAATTACTTTTTAATATACAAGATAGCATAAAAATGCTTTGAACAGGAAAACAATTCTTTTACTTTCTGATTATCTGCACTCTTTCTAAAACGTATTCATGAGGAATGTGCAATGTCATGAAAACAGAAAATCTACAACATTGCCAAACATGTATTAATGTGGCAATCAGATATGTGCATGTGCAGCAGATGACTGCAGATATACCCTTGAGAAACTGTAGGGAATATAAAAACTGTACAGAATATAAAAATTCACATTTCATAAAACGACACATCTTACATGATGAAATTTTTAGGAAAAAAATTTGTGCAATTCCTAGGTTTTTTTTTTTTTTTTTTTTACTACAAACATAGACTGCAGTGCAAATGGGGAGAACAGCAACATATGCAATGCCAAATTTTGTACATTTTCTTCTGCTTAAAAAAAAAAAAAAAAAAAAAAGACTGCTCTGTACATGGGGAGAACAACAGTGTAAAAATGATAATAAATACATAAGGTTTTTTTGAAAATAATTGTTTTGTTATCAATGTTTCTTGTTTTAAATTCTATTGATTTATCACTAATTTATGGAATTTTTGTGCACCTTTATTTTCAAAAATCGCTATAGCCTTTCGCATATTAGCTTGGCAATGAGTTGCCAACTTTTAAAGAGATATACAGAGAGTCAGAAAGTGTCCCAGTTTTTACTATTTTTACTGCTATCGGAATGGATTGACTAAAAACAACTACATACAATATAATAATATTTAAGTTGTAGAGGCTCATTACCTGTAGTTTTTACTAGGACTTCCAACCATCAGCATGCTTTGAGGAGGTGAAAGTGCCTGCAGATCATTGGCACTATTTTCTGCATTCATCATCTTAAAAAGTTTCTTATGATCGCCAGCCATTTTGCACGAATAACTCTCAATTCTATAAACGAAAATTTTACTTATTATTTAAATTAATAAACAAGCATAGAAAAAGGGTGATAGCAATATATCAGAAAATGAATACATAAAAGCACTTTAGAAAAATAGAAGGAAATTTGTAATAATTTAAATAGAAAATGCTTTCAAATTAATAGCATAACAAACACAAATTAAAAGTCTAGAAATTACAGTCAGAGATATATAAAGTAATCAATAATAAATTTCATTAAATTTGCTTTATAAATTCTAATACAATGGAAATTAGTACAATTATTATTTTGATGTTATATTAGATTTGCATGTCATGGCAAAATACTGAAGGAATGTACTTAATAAAAGGATATGCCACTTGCAGCCAGTTTTTCTTGAGGCAATTCAGTATTTCCTCATTCTTATAGCCTTCATTATTTAAATGACACCAAAAGCCCTTGTCAATGGATTAACCATCCTGACTAATATAGTGGTAAGAGTGATGCTGGCTGCTTCACCAGTCGACCTGGGTTCAAATCTCACAGAAAGCATAGATGTTTTTAAGTGTATAGTGTCTGTGCAATGTGGGAGCACTTAAAATATTGGTAAGCCAAAAGTAGTTTGGTGGTAGGAGAAGCAGGGTACAAGATCCTTGAATCTGTATCCCCACATTTTCCACCATAATATAGATGAAGCTGCACATTTAGTACAGTAGAATTACACTTGTATGAAGCAGGTTGGAAATAAATGAATGCAACAAATGTAAATGAATTCCTTTAATTTTTTCAGAACATTTTTTATTAGACTGAATACTTGTTCAGTTTCTTAACTATCAAGACACTAAAGTTTACTGCAAATCCAGAGTCAAATAATTTAAGACATTTAATGAAATTTGATCGAGATTACAAATTTACTGAGCCTTCATTTTTTTTAAACAAAATTTACTGAATAAAACTTACCTACATAAAAAATAATAAAAATAAATAAATAAATAAATAAATAAAATTTAAAAAAAAAACAAAAACTGAAGGGTTTTAGATTTTAAATTATGTCCAAAGGGGCATTTTTTAGCATTTTGTGTGTTACCTTTGTTTATTAAATATGTTCTTTGCACTTAAACCATAAAATTCAGTTCAATAGCAATGTCGCAAAATAATTTTAAAATGAGCTTATCTTTAGAATTTCTGATACACAGTTCCATGCGGTGGTGACAAAAAGGTCTTTTTTTTCCCCTGTAGAGTGTTGTCATTGCTCGCTTTTAAATCGTTCAGTTTGTTACTCAAAAATTCGTTAAAGTTTTAGAAAATATGAAATTGATAATAAAACAAATTCCAAATTTGGCCTTCTACATGCTGATATTTGTAGGAGGATTATGTCGTTCAAAATTCGATGGCTCTATGTACCATTGTTTTATCACAATGTGAGAAATATACATACATTTAATGCATATTTTTCATTATTTAATTTCTTCAAATATAATGCAGGACTCTAACATTTGGTGGCAACAGTTTGAAAAGTGAAACGGACATTTATAGTGATTCAACGCAAAATTGCAAAACTGGACTAAAAAAAACTATTACAGCATTGTTACCAACAGAGCAATTTTCTTATGACTTACATATTAAAACTAATTATACAAAATAGCTGTATTAAGATAGATAAAAATATTAGAAACTGATCTTTTGCAGATGACTGCCATGCTATAAGTGGCAGACGCAACTGCTGATATAAATAGTGTGAATGCTACAGTGTATAAATGGCAGACATAAGTGACATATGCATGGTGAAAGAAATACTAAATTCAACAAAGGGGGACATTAAAGCATGTTTCTATGCAGAACATTTGAGGGCCAATAAAATAGCTGGTGTGTGTGTGATTATGGCAAAGCCTCGAGGGCTATCTGCCTAAGGGAGGGATGCCTTCGTGGAGGACTTTCTAAGGGAAACTGGCTCGTATACACGTTACACATGGGGAAAACCACGAAAACACCCACGCAGCCAGCTCGTTCGCGGGATCGAACCTCGGACCGAACTACCAGTGTTCAGCGACTTTACCGCTCGGCCGCTGGTAGGCATAAAATAGCTGGTATTACCTGTCTGTTGTATTTGATGTGATGTATATTTTTGTTTCTTGGAATCTGAATTATTTATCTCATTTTATATATCCTTTTATACATTAATTCTTTTTTTCCCCCTTCATTATTTTCTTTTAAATCAGAAATAAGGGCAAATATTTCTGAAGTATAAATGAAAGCTCGCTCTGTCTAAAATAGAAATTATGTTTCCTGGTTTTGTTACTTTTTAAATTTATGCTTTTTTGTTATTTTTCATGAAAATACTCTTTTCACTTTTACAGATACATCACAATAAAACTGGGGTTAAAATATCTTTGTTGCAAGAAGATATTTTATTTTTACTGTAGCAATCAGAACATAATGGAAATGTAATAGACAGTGAAAATTTATGAGCTTTATCTCCAAATGAAATGAAGAAAAATCACCTTCCCAGTTCAGAAATAGTTTAGGTGAGAAATCTACTTTTGAAGCCCGGTTGCCCATTACAAGGGATCTCTTTCATCATACCTTTTCTGGACCTTTAGAAGTGCAATCTGATGGTAAATTTTATATGAAACAAAACTCATAGTACAATAAAATAAATATAGTGCACAGTCTGAGATCCAGAAGTCTAATATCTGGAATGATCTAAAATCAAGACCTCAAAAGCTACCACTCAAAACAACCTTTTTTTTTAACGTTTTACGCATGCACATTTGATTTTTTCTCCCCGTAACAAAACACGTGAAGAGTTCCAATTCTTAATTTCAGTTCGGCACTAAATAAAATACCCCGCTATTGAACAAACAATCATTTTAGTATAAATTTGCATGATCAATAATTTGGCTCCATTGTTGCATATCCGCTTAGCATACATCCCAAAGCAAAACATTCTACATAGAAACATTGTTGATTTTACACCTACTAATATTTTATATCCCCGAGTCAACCTGGCACAAATCTTTATTTATTATATTTTGCTTTTATCACCATATATTCATCAACACATGACAACTTGAGTAATGACTTATGCAGTGATGCCTAAACAATTTTTTTATTAGTAATTGAATAACAAAGAGTATGGTAACCTTTTTTGTTGACATTATGTTTGGCGATGATTATGGATTTAACCCTTTGCGGCACTTAAAAATTTCCTTCCATACACACAGAAAAGTTGAATGAAAAAGGATTTGTACGTTACTATAGGTTACTTTGAACCTTCTTTATTTATAATAGATGGCAGCTCAACACAAGCCAGTCCACATATTTCAGCCATGTTTAGTTTTTCAAGACCCTTATTTTTCAAAGAAATCTTCCAGATTTTTTTTAGTGTATAAAAGGAATTGTTTTAAAAGAAATTCTACGTTATTTTTTTGGCTGTATGCTAATCTCCTTATTCTATATTAGTTTTAAATTTTTACTTTGAAATCTTGCCTAAAATCAAATGGCGAACCCTAGGTGTGCCCAGACCTAGGGTTCGCCATTTGACACTGATAATCTAGGACAACTGAGAGTCTGTATTCTTTGTTTCTCCGCATCTCATCGGTCAGTTCATTGACAACAATGCTCGTTTCAGCACTCTTTTCGAAGCTCTATTCAATCAGTATGCCACTTTGGGCACACCCACAGAATTAAAACGATAAGTGCTACCTTCACAAAATTTTATTTGTGCACTCCTCTAGGCCTAATTAGACTGCCTACCTTTTTTTTTTTTAAAATCAAACTCCAACGTTAAAAGGTAGTGTGCCGGAAAGGGTTAAGTTAAATGCACTATGAAATATTTATGAGGAAAAATTTAACAAAAATTTCTTTCCATATGCTAAAAAAAGATTTTGTTAATGATAAATCATACACCAAAAGATTACATTTAGTGCTATTTGAATTTATAATATCTAATTTGTTACTCAAATAAATCCAGAACTGGCGTCGGAATTCAGGGAAAACAAAATTTTTGGAATTTAGAGAAGCACCGAGCAACAAAATAAAGGAATGACAAAAGTTTTAGAGTTTAGGAAAAGCACTGGGGCCCAAAATTTAGAACTTACACTCTAAATCCCTCAGAGTGGGATTTGCAGAGTGATAGCAGCTTTTGCTCCGTTTTGCGTTAAACAACGCAGGTTTAATGTCTTGGTAACAGAATATGTTTTGCCACCTGCAATTATGACAATGGAGTGAATTGAGAGACAGAATGACCCCTGTCGAGACAGAGTGCCCGAACTTTGTTTTCTGAAGCTCGCCATTTCAAGCAAGGGCAGTCGTAACAATGGATGCACCTCATTTGCCAAAAGAAAGTTCACTTTTGAAACATATGTATACAGTTATTTCTTAATATAAATATCTTAAGCATTATAAATTATAGTCTTATAGTTAGATTTATGTGTAAAAAATTGAAGGATGGTAATAAAAAGTAGTTTTAGTTTGCTCTTTTTTTAAGTTATCTGTAAATTTGCTTTAGAGTGTAAGGCTCTAACGTAGTTTTATTTATTACATACTGCAAACACGATAAAAGCTATATGCATGGATGGTACTTTTTGTAAACACTTCTTAAAATTATTTTTATTTTTGTACAATTTACACAATACTATCGATTTTAATTATTTAAATTCAGTTTTGTATGCATTTTTAATTCAAATAGGAACAGCAGAGGTGAAAAAGAAATCCATACTATAGTTTTGATTTTTTATAACACAAGTGAGCAAATTATTTGGTAGAATTGCAGCATGTTAGCAAGAAATAAAAATCGTATACTTTATTGAATTCTCTGGTAAAGTCATATCGTTTTCAACTTATACTTTTAATAGATTTTTTTTTAAATTTTTAGATTTTTAATGTCATTTTTTGTCTTATTTTTAGTGACATATATAAATATGTATGTACATATATTTCCTAATAAAAAGTTTTTCATTCATTGCTTGTTTTCATTTATATTTAAATTACTTTGTTCATGGAAATTATTATAATTCTGCAGTTATGTTAA